ATTTTCTTCTACAGCTCCTATCTACGCAACAGATCATTAGCAAGCATCTAAGAAGTCGTTATAAAAAGCATGACTTACTCTTTGAGATTAAAATAAGAGCGTTCCAATAGTTTGGAAAATTCAGAAGTTATGAATTTTTGAATTTGGTGCGAAAAAACATTCGGTTCAACCTAATAAATTGAAAAAATTGACTTTATGAAGATCTGTGCTCCTATTTCATTGCATCGACAAAAAACGAAAGCAATAAGGTATCCCAAAAGATGTATAAGTTAGGAACAACTTACAATTCCTGTACATCATCATCAACAATATCACTATCGCTAACGTCAGAGACAACAAATTCGCTGCCTGAAAGATCTTCTTCTTCTGTCAAAAGAGCATCGAAGTAGAAGTAGAGTTGCGTCAAAAAGCGTTCTGAGTCGAAAATGGATTTGAAACGTTCTTCTCCTCCTAAGCGCTTTTGTGTTTTTTTTTTCCTGGCCCTCTGGTAGCACCAGGAAGTCAGCAGGTAGCTGACCAGTTTCTTCATACCATCTTTTAGGATATTTCAAAAAGTCATACGATGACAGCCTGTCGGGACCACTTATACCAATCCTTTAAATGAAGTTTTTAGATAATAATTTGTTCAGTAGAAGGTGAACAAATCTTAAGTAATTGGTTAGATGCTCCACCGTTGTACAAGTTCTCCGTTGCGTTCTGATAACAGAGTAGATAGAAAATCCCCTCTCCACCTCTGCCGTGCTAGTCGGTATGGGAACTAGCTTTGCTAGTAAGCCCATCAGATTTTTGCGATAAGTAATGGGGAAAGAGCCAAATCGCATATGCTTTTGCAACACGGGAAGTAAATATTGCATACTTTTTTGGGCCTTGTTGAACTCTGGCTTCACCTCCTCTGGCTTACGTCTTGTTAGCTGACGAGAAAGCCGCTCAACTTCTTCTTCAACAGCATCTGCGGAACAGCCGAAAAAAGTAGATACTATGCTGCGCGTTGGTTTTTTTTTTCAATATCATAGGTCATATTGTCACAAGGCGAGATACTTCCAGCAGCATAAAGCACAGAGTTAAGTTCATACTCCAGTCGGGATCTAAGAGTAGTAGCTATGCTTTGTACTAAAACCTTCCTTTTGTTCATATCCATGTTCGTGAATTTAGCAGCCTTGGAATCTTCAGCAACCCGAAGATCAGCAATGGACTTCTTGGACATTTCCTCATTGAGACTAGGCAATCTGCTTGGATTTCTGATGTACGAAATAGAGAGTTTCGCTCAAAGGTCAACTCTGTATCAATGTCGACAACATATTCGTCGGCGTAAGATTCTCCTTCTGCCTCGCTGTTGAACTGGAACACGTGCGAGTCATCTGCGATTATGTAAAGTCATCTGCCTGCCGCTTCTTCTTCGAACTGCCAACCTTTCCAAAACATTGAAGGATATTTTAGTAACATGTTCTTCTTCTGAATGCTTCAAAGGTTTTGATTCATTGAAACCAACCATTCTCTACAGTTAGGTGAGTCAGAGCGTTTTCACGGAAGTGACCTTCTTCAGCACTAGATTTACAAAGTATAGATTCCAGAAATGGGCGGGTTTTTGTTTGAAGGTGTGGAAATTCACCAATCTCCCATATTTTTTTTTGAGTATGCGCTGATAATGATGGCACAACTGTCAATCAAAAGCGCATTTTCTACTTAAAAAAAAAAACAAACATATAATAACGATAAGCACGCTTAAATAGACACGTTCGCTCGCGTTCCCGTTAGCGCTGATAACGATGCCAATCCACAGCACATTTTTTACTATTAGCTTGCTCCACCTCGCTCTTACAATGTATTGGCTTTTATCGGTTACCGGAGCAAATGATTTTTGGAGCCGGGAAGCAAAGAAGCCCTAACATGCTGCATACCATTCGAAAGCTGAGATCATGGAGAATCGACGTAGACCGTCGACTTTTTTCTAGGTCTTCTGTATCGCGAGATATGAGGGATTTTATGCGCTTCAAAAATTAACTGATTTTGTGTCCTCACTTTCTGCTCTCCAAATGAATTCTACGAGAAAGTCGACGGTCTACGTTTGTTAATGAAGACTTGCTCTCTAACACAGATAGATAATCAGCAGTGATTAGGTCTTCATTTGGCAGAAATCTGCTGTTGAAAATGACCATGTTTTCAGATAAAATGCGGTGTATCTCTCGGTAGAGGGGGGCTAGAAAGAAGTCGACGGTCTAGGTCGAATCCCTTTTTCCTGAGCTTTCGAATGGTATATAGGTTGCTGGGCGAAAAAACTAACCAGTTTTCAAAAATGGGGTGGAGATATTTACTATTAGCTTGCTCCACCCAGCTCCACCAATGTATTGGCTTTTATCGGTTACCGGAGCAAATGATTTTTGGAGCCGGGAAGCAAAGAAGCCCTAACATGCTGCATACCATTCGAAAGCTGAGATCATGGAGAATCGACGTAGACCGTCGACTTTATTCTACGTCTTCTGTATCGCGAGATATGAGGGATTTTATGTACTCCAAAAACCAACTGCTTTTTTGTCCTCGTTTTCTGCTCTCCAAATGAATGCTACGAGGATGAATAAATAATATAAATAAACATATACCGTTTCTTTAATAAATTTATGAGTGTACTTGTTGTTTGAGGTACTTAGCCTGCAAAACCTTTGATAACGATTTTTATCATATTCTCTGAGTACAATACCAATCTCAGCCCAGGTGAAGGGGGTCATCGGGAGTTTGGCCTCAAAGTGAAGGGGGTAAGATCCATCACTCCCCCTATCGCAACTATGTATCTAGCGCCGCAGTCTCCCCCCCCCCCCCCCGGCCGAGCCTCGTTTGCAGAGATATTATGGTCAGAATTGAATCTCGAATGCTTTTCCACATGTTCTCACCAGTGCAAACAAGACCGGGAAATCGGTCACATGTTTTAACGCGATTAGCATGAGGAAACTTAAATGTGCTCCAAATAAGCAAATGGCTTGTTTACAGCGACCATTCAATAATACGAATCTTTGGCATCTGGCGACGAATTTCCTCCCTAATCTCTCAATCTTTCATGAAATCTGGTAGGATCTGGGCATTTAATCTCATCTGCAAGCTACATGAACAGAACTTGAACGGAAGGACGGAACTGTCTTTTTTTCCGCCTTTCTGAAGCCTCAAAAAAGGAAAGTGACGAATTCTGCTCCGATCGTAAAGCGCGCTAGAAATAGCTGAATCATTGTCATTATCGATGTCTTATTGTAAGGCATAGATAAAGGCGTTCTTTCACGTCTCATCAGATGGAACTGTAAAGATCGAACTTCATGAAAAATTACGAACTTAACAAAGACCTCGTCGCCAAAACCCCCAAGTGCCGCTCATGGCAAGCCTTGAGGAAATTAGAGGATAAAGGTAAAGGATTCGGCGTCTTCAATACCCTCTGTGGGCGTGCGCCGAATGCACACTACTTCATGGTCGAAGAGGCAATTGTATGCGTGCGAGACTATTACAGTCGTTTGCGGGGACAGCCGTTTACCAAGTCAGTGCTTCTATCCTCCCAAATTACTTTAGTACCAATTTACCGGCCTTGGAGGGTAGAGGGCTTGGCTGGCTCAGAGGCGGGGATCGAGCCTGTGTCCGATCTGGTAATAGCGGCGTCTCATACCATTACGCCACTCGTTCCACCGTAAGGAAATTATGATTTTGAAATCTTTCATTTCGGCTTTGTGGTTCCATTGGACTTTATTTCAAGGAAAAAAAATAAAGGAAAATACTGTAAGTGTGTACGGTATGTTCTAAGGCTACGCAGAAGCGATGTATAGGTCATCCAAAGTACGGCAGCTGCCTCGCGCATTTCCTATGCAGCTTACGAGGAAATGTCAGAACTCAATCCAGTCATTCCAAACAAGCTGTACATTATCGAACTCGTCTTGAAACGCTGATTTCTAATATATGTTTTTTTATCTGCCAAGCGAACATCTGCGAGGAGTTCTGAGCGTTCAAATATGAGGAAATTTTTGAGTCCCGACGAATATATTTCCTTGAAAGGCAGCCTGATGGCGCGGTTTTACAGTGGCCATGGTTACTTTAATTACAAGGAAGAAGCACATTCACTAAAACCCTAAATAAGTGTTTTTGAAACCTATATCTTCGAATGCGCGCCACAGAACACTTGACAAATTGCACATTTAAACGCTCATAACTCCTTCTAGATAGTCGCTTGGCAGATAATAAACATACTATATATTTGTGATTAGCGTTTCAAGATGAGTCCGATGGTTTACCGCATGTTTGGAATGGCTGGGTTAATTTCTGACTGTCCCCTGCTTAGACAATCGCATTTTCTTCGCTTTCTCCATTTTACGAAACATTTTTTATGAATATGCTAGCTGCGAGACACTTAAAGTGACTGAGTTGCGCGCTAAAATGTCTGAAGGTTACGTGTTCTTATAATGCTTGAGTGGGCTCAAAAATACAATCGAATCCGTGCTACGATTGCATGAGTGGCCTATATTACTGCTAGCTTCAACTTAAACTCGCAAAAAAATCACCACATCAGTCGCTTTTGTTTACTGCAGCATAAGCAACAAACTTGATAACGATACATCGAGGGCCAGATTCCCTCTTGGAAAGATATCCTAACCATCGAAAGCTTCCATGCTAACCCTAGCTGACTCTAATTCTAAAACATCAGTGACTCGTTTCATTATGCGAATCCAAGTTGAAACTGACTTTATAAAACGACGCCTAAAGGTTCACAGAAGATATGAGACAGGAGATAATCTCAATAATAGACACTGTATGCACACTTTTGGCCTCTATTTCAACAATTGATGCTTTTCAAACATTGGACACGTTTTCAAAATTTCTGACGCAAGACTTTTATGACAACTTGGTAAGTATCAACAAAGCAATTGCTACATCACTTAAACCAACTTTCTTTCTCAATTAGCCGGAAATGTAAAAATGTAAGCGTCAATCACTAGCAATTTGGCAAAGATTATGCTCAATGAAACGTGACGCACCTTTAGAATTGCTTCCAACTGGAAGGCAATGAAACAACGAGGATGCATAGTATCTTGCAGCTACAGCTCCATCTTCTTCCTTATCCTCATAGATATTCGATGTCCCGTATATCTGGAAAAATAACGACTTGCTTTCTTTGAAAAAGAATGCTTACCTCTATCATGCCGAAAACGCCCTTTAGTTTGAGTACGCGGTAGACTTCCTTGAGACACTAAAATCATGTTGATTAAAGTAAGCCAAACAAGGTCGGTAATTTTGCATCCAGTTTCACGCAGTTAACATTATCGAACTTATTTAAGTTAGTTGAACGATTCTGGTAGTTGAACAATTTGCACGAATCAACTCTCCTCTAACCAAATCACTTTTCTGCGATTCATGAGAAAGCTTTGATTATCCGTCCTCATAGTACTCATAGATCCCGACTTTACTGGGCCTCAGAAATTCAGGGAAGCATTCCTTCTCACCAGATCTGGTCTCATCTGATCGTGGCATGCGTCAAAAATGATGACTATATCAAACTTGTTCGTCCAACCGGGATCCAGTTTCGAGCCATCCATATGGATGAACTTCAGGTTTTCCAACGTGTAACCGTTGCTTTCTCTAAAAAATTGGAAATTTTAGATAAGGCACAAAGTCCTGAAAGTTTTATAGCTTTCCGTACCTGTGCTTATCTGCCAAGAAGATTGCATCAGGGCTGGCATCAACTCCAATAAAGTTTGATTTGGGAAATTGCTGTGCTGAAATGTAAGTGTTTTTTCAACAGTTTCAGCCTCAGCGACCACACAAACAATTTCTCTAATCATAAAAAACTACAGATAAATTCAAAAGGTGAAGTGAGCAATTTTATTGATGCGACCTTTTTAATAAGATGATTGTCAGACAAGAAAGATGGAGTAGAAATGGAAGGCTTTGTGTTTATTGATCATGCTGGTGACTATGCTTGTAACTCGATTGTTTTTTATTTTTTAAAACAGCTATGAACTACCTAAATGAAAAGCATGTATTCCCTTGCCACAACCAATGTCTAAGCACGTCAATCCACCCTTCTCGAGACGATCCTGAAGAAATTGAATTACAGTCCTTGGTTCTGCCAAGGATCAGACCAAGTAGTCTCGCCTACTTGTTAATATTTAGCAAAAAAGTTTATCATTATCAAACCTGTATATCCGCCCCGAGAGAGGGAATAATATTGGGGATAAGATGTTCTTTGTGAGCTGCTTCACTTAGTTTAGCTATTACGTCAAAGCATTCTGCTGTGTAGTCCGAGTAATCTAATCCTGAAGAAACGGAATAAAGCAGATTGAAGGAGAGCTGTGTAAAGGCGAAGTTTTTGCTCACCCAATGGTCCATCTGTCTTGATCACTTGGCACAGTTTATCATAAGGTTTGAGAAAGTTTGGAAGCAAAGAATTTGCCATAACCGCCATGGTGCTTGTCAGTACCTAAAAAATGCTTCGTTTCAAAACGTGAATAATAAGTCTTCAAAGTTTGTCAGAACAAGAGCACTCCTACTCGTTTACCTTCAGCCATGCACTAAGCCAAACAATTTCAAAATTTATGGAGGTGGTGCAGAAGGAACCAAAGGGCTGCCGCTTGTATCCGCAGGAGATTATTAAGAGCGCGAGCGCTGTGAAGAATATTTTGGCAAGGATCCAAGAAAACTTGGCAAGGATATTCCTGAGGAACAAATCTTCATAACTTTGCCTGGAGATGGCTTTAAAAAATTTGTTAAACAGACTTGTAGTGCAAAGTGGAAGGCGCATTCACTGGATCCAGAATTGAGTGAAAATTTAGAGTTTTAGCGGTGAGAAAAGTCAACTTTCTTATAGAAACTTTTTGTTTCGAATTTTGAAGTTTCAAGTTGTTGAAATCCAGGGTTTTCATTCAAAATTCATTCTTTCTTCTTCGAGATAAAGAACTATTTTGTCTTTTAATTCAATGAAAAGCAATTAAATTGTCGTAAGACATCTGGAGGTTTGTGTCAAGATGCAATATGCAGTTTGTCTCATAGCTTCAAACCAGTTCCGAGAAATTTTTTTCGCGGGAGGCGCGAAAAAAAATTTTTTCTAAAGAAGGTGCGTGGCGTTAGCCACGCACTCCGAAAAAATTTTTGGGGTGCTTCTCAAAATTTTTGCGGGTCCCCGACCCCTAAAGTCTGAAAAAAGGGGGCGTGGCGTCAGCCACGCCCCCGAAAAAAATTTTTTATAAGGCTAAAATGAATTTTTAAAAAATTTTAAAAATTATTTTAATTATTTTCAAGCGCAAAGAAGTCGTTTGCATATTTTTACAACCCATATAGGTCAGTTCAAAAATTTCGCGACCCATTCTCGGGGGGGGGGGCCCGCCCCCCCTCGGTCCGCCACTGCTTCAAACCCATTTAATTTTAAATCTTGACATTACAGGCTTCATAGGACTTGCCATTACTACGTCGGTAATCTTTTAGGTCGTACACAGTAGCAAAAGTTCATACATGCAACTTCGTTAACATTATTTCCTTATTACCATTTCATACTTTCAACTTCGTATCCAGAAACTACGCTAAAATTTAGGTGAAAGTTTCACCCAACATTAAGCTTGAAATTTCAGTTTCGAATGGTGAATTTTGAAGACACAGTTTCTGGTAAAAATCATTGTGAGACAGAGTTGTTCAACTATCCGATAAGCGTATTATTGAAAAATGCGCATTTCAATACTGACTCCAAATCTGTCCATCGTATCCTTGAAACTTGATTCCAAGGAGAGTTATAAGGGTTTGATTTTAGTGGATGTCCTCGCCAAGTTTTCCTGGATCCTTGCCAAGATCTTCTCCACAGCGCTCGCCCTCCTAATTATCTCCTTCGGCTATAGGCGGCAGGCCTTTGGTTCCTCTGCACCGCATCCCCACGTTTTAGCTAAGTCTCCCCAGCAGCCTTGCGTACAGTGACTTTGTGAGGGCAAATCTCTACTTGCCCCTAAATTTCATTTCTCTCTTAGGGCGCCGAATGAGTCAACCTCTAGTAACAATTCACATACGATAGGGGACTATTGTGCATGGTCTAGGCTGCTAACAGCTTCATTTTGGCTTATAACCCCAAAATTTCTCAAATTCATTAGTTTTCGAAAAATGCCTGAATTTCCAATTCGTTTTCAAAATATAAACAATTTTAAATCAATTGTAGCTTACATTACGCTCTACATGCTGCCAAAGTTTGAGTGCGTCGTATCCAAAGAGAATTGAGTTACGAAAGTAGTTGCAAAACTTAGTTTCCAACCTAATAGCATGAATGACGGGTAGAGTTGAACATATAAGAATGTTAGATGTATAAAATGGGGCAAAAAGATATACCACAGATTATGTGAGGATAACAAACATTATCGGTTTCTCAAGAAGAACTCTATAAAACTGGCATGATTATATATTCAACACCTTCCTAAGTAGCTGATCTGCGAACATCTGTTGTGATAACAGTAAGCGCACTTCGTCCTAGCTGACAATAAGTTCTGCGTTCGTCATCCCAAATGGGAACTTTTTTCATATTTGACTTATCTCATTACAAATGTTTCAAAAAGACAAGCAGCTAACCTATAGACTTACAGTGATGTTCTCTTGTTTGATGAAGAACTTCTCATCTTCTGTGACAGATATTATGTCGGCAGTTGCCATCGCGGCTAGCCATTCTTTCACATACCTAGGATGTCTATTTGTTGGACCAGAAAGTGCCCTTTCTTGATTTTGCTGGGGAAGACGTACCTACTCTCTCTCTCTCACCTTTCTTTGCATCCGCTCTCATCTGCGACTTGAGCAGCAGTGGCCGGGCTACTCTCGCTTCCAACCTTTGCCAAGGCATTGAATAGCTGCAGCCTTGTCCCTAGTGCTATGCATGCAGAGAGCATGCCATCGATGCCGATTTGCTGAATTTATGGACATGTAGGCTGACCATCAGAACAGCTGTTTTAGCATAACTGTAATATTACGTCTTTCGTTTCATGTGACTCGCAATAATTCTGACTCTTCAAAAAAGTATTGGGCATCTGCATTCTCAAAATGAAATGTCCTACTTTGGCTATTCTATGTACAATATACTCAAAATTTACTCCAGCAACCAGGGATCTTTTCTGAGCGGATTGCCAAACACCTTTTGCGATCTTCATTTTGATGAGCCAGAACTTGATTTAAGCAGAATTGCATTATCTCTGCTCCTTGTGTAGTCAATAATCGTTGACCAGCATTGCTTAATTTGATTTTCACCAATATTCATTCGAAAACCTCAAGAAAATTCGAAAGGACCCACTTATACCTTCTTCCTGAGGTGGCGGAAGATGCACCTTTTACGAGGTTTCTGGTTTTGTTCACAACTGATAAGTGATGAAATTTTTTTCGTATTCCTGGTAATAAATGCTCTAGACCTAGTCTAACTATATAGAGCAAAAATTCCGTAATTACATTGTGCTTATGGTTCTCATGCTACTTATAAGGACTACAATGGCAAGTCAAGTTTATGCTAAAGATGTATAGGTTCGTGCTTATTCTAAAATCATGTCTCGATAAACATTTCGGAGCACAAGTCTTCAGCAAACATTACAGATATTTCAAAGAATTTCCTCTTATTACTTAGGTTTCCTAACAGTAGCAGAAAGGAAATTCTCCACATTTGTTTTGCTGTCTCGGAGCACAGAATCAACAAAGCTTTATGAAACGAAAGCATGCTTGAAGATCTAGAAGAAAACAAATGATGTAAGCAACGTTCATAGAAAAGGTTTTTCCTCCAAAAACAGCAGTTCAATTACAGGTGCAAAAAGCAGTCAAACTCTTGGAACAGCTCAGTATTTGGATACAAACGTTGAACTTTTTAGATTAACTAACTGCTGCTTGTTACGCTGAAATTAGGCTAGTACAGATTTCATCTGTTTTTGATAAAGTAGTCACATTTCAAAGGTGATGAAAAATGTTTTCCAGAAATTAGTCGATTCAAGAACAATGAGGACAATGGGTGGGGTTGGTAGCCAAGCGAGGAACTTGGATTTGGAAACTAATTGGGAACTTGCCTCTTTGCCAAGATTAGTAGGGAGCTCAAGATTGCTCAAAACGTTTTTCAGTGACTGTGAGGTTCAGCTAAACGGAACGATTTCAATTTAAACTGAAAGGCAATATTGCGTAAGCATGTAGGCAAAACTCATACATATGCAATTTTTCACTAGAATCACGGTAAAACACCACCAAGTTGCAGAAAACTGCAGACTGTTCAGGATCGGGAGAAATGTGAAGGAAGCGAAATCACACAGAATGGCTTTCTTTAATTGATATTCGCCTCACAAGTCGGTGTATGCAATTCTAGCTAATGTGCTAAGATCTTACTGATACTCAGTAATAGAGTATAATCTTCGATTTGATGAAACGATGAAAATTTTCATTTTCATGTAATGTAACGATTGATCGAACAGATCTCATTAACTTTGACATAGATTAACGAACAAATTCGCAAACCCACCAACAGCTTCTTCTGGAATTCCGACTTTTCACTCATGGCTGGGACGTCTCCCAAAGGCAGAAATCGTCAAGAACTGATGTGGCACTAATAAACGTCGCAGAGCAAAGATCAAACGCAGCAAAGACACATGCAAACGTTCCGCTGATGTGGCTTGAACGATATGACATCGATCGGCCTTGGATCGAACATTCCAGGTCTATGCACTTTCTATCAAATTATGGGAATGACTGAGGAAAGGGAAGCATTCGCATATTATGCCGTCTCTTTTCAAAAAAAGGGTGAGTTATGCAATTCTTTGTTCCAATTGCAAAAACTTTTACATATATACTGCCACAATTTTTGAACACGTCTGCTGAAACTCAAACAGCAAAACAAGGGTTCATTCATTGCAAACTTTCGCAGAATTCTGAGTTTTCAAAGATGTAGCTTTTTGGAGACTATCCATCTCTCCAGCAGAAAACGATCATATATACTACTCAAAGAGATTTAGCTTTTATTCATCACACGGCACAGTATAGTCTCCATCAGTGCGATTATTATTAACTGCTGCGAAGTGTAATTTTTTATGAGAATCATAGCTATAAAAAATAAGTACTATCTAATTTTAATAAATTTCAGGTATTTCACTTTGGCCCATTACATTGATATCTCTACAAGGAAAGGTGAAGGTTATTTTCATCATGTGCGACCTGACCTCTCTGAGGTTGTACGGGCGAGCGAACCGAGAACAGCAACGAGAAAATAACTTATAGCTTATAAAATCGTGAGACAAATTACGATGACATTTTAGCAGGAAGCAGTAACAATTTTATTTCGGTGCGATAGCTGTAGCATGCTACGAGGTTGTTTAGGAACCAAAAAGGAAACATATTTGTATTCGGCTGTCCCTGTTGGGGCTGCAAATTTCGAGGTTTCCTATTACCCTTGTACGCACTTAACCTTGGAAACTTCCACTACTTGTGAAAGTTAGATTGTTTCATTGAAGAAAGGGCTATATACGGTAGGCTCCAAATCATAGGTCTGGTGTAAAATTATAGGAAATTGTAGTAATGGTAGTAATTGTGAATGATGACACCTATTGGCAAACAAGCTATGACTTAGATTTGTATAAATAGGAGCGTACACATGTGAACTACTGAAATACTTCGCCCTTACCGACTTTTCCAACTGTGAATTTAATGGATGTGCTTTAATTAGTTAATTGGAGTGAAATTGAGAGAGAAAGCATGTCGTTTTCGATTTGTTAGAGAAGACCTAAGTTGCTCCGATTGAGCATGTGTCCAACCGTATAAATAGTTTTCTCTGCATCGAACACAACTACAGCTCCTCAAATATTCATTATCATCTTGCGCAATTACAATCCACTTATATAAAGGTAGTGGTGGTTCTTTTTGAAAACAATTTTCAAATAAAAGGAAATGAACGTGGTCATATCCCAGTTCTTTTTAGAAATTCCATTTGAAGTTTTATAAGTTTTGGAAAACGGTCTTGATTCTTGCGCGTAAAAAGCGAGTCAGCAGAATATGTTGCAGCTTATTTTAGGTGTGCTCTACAAAAGCGAACTTTCATTAATGTTTATTTTTCATTTTTCGTATTTCTGAGATTTACTCAACGGCAGCAATAACTTATATAGATAAGTGCAAGTATTTCTAATTCACTAACTGAAAGCAAAAAAAATCTCATCACTTTTTACAAATATACAACGCAGAATGCGGTAAATAGGGTGGATTCTGCACAGTAACCTCGCTGAAACCAGCGTCTTTGAGTAGTTCCAGACCTCGCTTGTCTCCCCACATCGCACCAAGACAAAGGGCATCTTGAATTTATGTTTAATAAAACCAATACTAAAAAAGCAGGAAGTCGAAAACCTTCAGAGTTGCTGCCTACTGGAAGACAATGAAGCAGCGAATATCCATAATACATAGCCGCCATCGCTCCGTCTTCCTTTTTATCCTGGTAAATGCTAGATGTTCCATGTATCTGAGACAGGTTTCGGATGTTCTTTGCACTTTATTGTAGAAATAACTTACCTCTACCATTCCGAAAACTCCTCCAGGCTTCAGCACACGGTATATCTCCTTCATACACTGGAAAAAAGCAAGTTTAACATGAAATAGACACACTCTATGTAGTGAAAGCGCGCTAGAGCTTTGCGTGCCAGCTTTGGGCCAGCGCCATCCCGGGACTTACGTGCCCTTCCGTTTTGATCCATCAAAAGCTGGCACAGTTCTGGCAGGCACTGGCACGCCGCTGGGATTGCGCTGACAAAGCAACTCTGGATACAGTAACGCTCTTATTAAAAGGATGATGCAATAATTACCAGATCAGGTCTCGTCTGATCATGACATGCGTCGAAGATCATGGCCATATCAAAAGCATTATTCCATGAAGGATCCATTTTGGAGCCATTCATTTGCATAAAATACAGATTGTCGATTTTGTTGCTGTTCTCATCTCTGTAATGTGGTGTACACTATTTGCAGAAGTTGACCAGCGTCATTACCTTCTCTTCTTGGCTAAGCGAATTGCATCGAAACTTGAGTCAATCCCTATGAATTTGGAGTTTGGGAAGCATTGAGCTGAAACATGAATGTTGTGTTTGGCTACGATACATTCAAACACAGATTCAAACAAGGAAGAACGTCTTTAAATGACATTTCATTTTCCGCATTGCTTCAACTTTCTTGTGCACTAACGTACTTTTCAGCATAGTTTATGAAAATATCTTGCCTAATTCTAAAGAGCGCTAAGAACGAAGACTTTGTGAAAACCGAGCTGCAAAATATTGTACTAGGTTAAAGCATAATTTTTACGCAGAAAGTAAAACAAGTCATACATTTCCCAATTAATTTGTTGGTTCCGGGTTAGTACTTGAGAGCAAAGTAACCTTTTCTAGCTAGTAAGAAGCTTATAATTTATGAATCAACTTTGAAGCCAAAACCTAAGAAGATCCAAAAGCCGATAAAAAATAGGAACTCTGTCAAAAAATCCTACTGATTTCCTAGTTGCTTACGCACGTACATTGCACTTCAGACATGTATCGTTACTGTATTCTTTCCTAAAAATTGAAAAAAGATTTTTTCAGGTTTTGTCAAAGCGGTGCTGAGCTGTTTCCTATAATAAATTGCAATGCTTCCTATTATAAATTGCAGCATAATCGTAAATTTTCAACCTTCAACAAGGTTGGCCCTCAGGAATTATTGAAAGTGGCATAAATTTATAAGGGGTGGTATACTTGGTGTTTCTCGAGAAGTAACTTTTGTAGAGGCAACAATTTCACTTCTGTGCTTCTAAAGGCTAGTAATACACAATAATGAGTATGAGAACAGCTTGCATTGCTTTAGCAATGATATGAAAAGTTTCGTTTTGTAGATTCCTAACCGAGAAAAATTTACAATAATCACATAAAAGTGCACTAATCACATATGTTTGAGCTAGTGCAGAATTTTTTTGGTTCGGAATTTGGATCTGTTTGTTTCTGGCTTTACACTTTGTGTGGATTAGAGGCGCATAATCGAAAACCACTTTGTATAGCTTATTTTGCTCTATCGAATGGTAACTCCGAAACGTGAATTATAGGTAAAAGGGACACGACTTGTTGTTGTTTTAGATAACTTGATGCAGGAAGTTTGCATCAAGGTAATAAATATATGGCTATCACAATTTTCATCGCTTTCCTCTCATTGCTGCAGATCAAAAAACATAATCTAGTGACTCTATGAGAAATTACAAAAATACTCGCTTGCAAAAACACCTTTGGAAGTGACAGATTTTATCCGCACTACTCACGATCGAAGTGCAACTTGCATAGTTCCCCAAGAACTCCAGAGGGTCCTAATACATGGTATAACACTGGCATGCAAATGCAAAAACTCAAAATCGTAATAATTTCTGGCTCGCATGTCAACAACAACATCGCAGAGAGTGCTTTCTACTAACTTAACTATTTCAAAGGCACTGTCCACCCTAAGTTGAGGGTGTTGAGCTATTGGTAGCATATAACAGTAGGGCCCCCTATCAATCCAATGCCCAAGTCGCGGCGCAGAATGCCGCTTCGGAAGCGAGAAAATCGCTTCGGAATAGCGAAGATGCACGAGGACCCCCATCCATGCCCGCCCATTTGTGCGCGCTCATGCAATCACTGTTCCAGAAAGCCGGCCTGTGGGTTCTCCGGAATGGGGATTTTCGGGATTCGCGGATTCCCGACTTCATACTTGGAATCAGGGACATGAAAAGGCCTTGAAACGACAAAAACCTAGAAGTCGAGAATCTGGGTGGACGGTGCCTTCAAGGTCATCGCGCTTGACATAAACCTTGCTATTTGATATATTGTGCGTGAAATACAAACGCATACAATATATACTAGCAGTAAAATCTTCGTCAGTTTCTGAGAAAAGATAAAGAAGATGAAAACGAACCCAAATGAAATGCATGGAGTCCTTTACCACATCCGATATCCAGACAAAGCATTTTACCTTTCTCCAGCCTTTCCTAAAGATTCGACTCTATGCTAATTGGGTGTAAGGAACTACTACGCGTTAGTGCTTATATTCAGAAGACATATTCATTCGCCACAAGAGCAGTCGCTTTCATAGCCGTAATAGAACCGACCTTCATGTCCGGTCCAAGTGCAGGAATGAAGTCAGTGACAAGATGATCCTTGTGGAGTGCTTCGCTGAGTCTGTCTATCACTTCGAAGCATTCCGTTGTGTAATCGGCGTAGTCCAAACCTTGGAAGGTACGACGCGCCTTTTGTATGACTGCTGAACAAAATAAGCAAACTCACCTGGAGGGCCTTCTTTCTTTATTACGCTGCAAAGTTTTTCGTACGGTCTGAGAAAATTAGGCAAGAATGAGATCGAAAGCAACTCGGGAGTGCACGTCAGATCCTAGAAAGGAATATGACTACAGTAGTCGTTGAGAGGTTTCATTTTAAATATCAGCTTTATACTTAATACGTCGCGAAAGGAGATTGAACTGCAATTCTATTATTAGTGATTTATCCGGATTATTTGCGATTTTGGCAATTTCAATAATCCAGCCATTTTCAAATTTTTACTTGCGGCGAATTATCTCATTGTGCTGATTAAGAACGTGCACACATTGGTTGCTGTCCTAGAAACTGACATCCTACCAACAGTACCGTATCCAGAAAGGCCTTTATAACAAAAATGCCTCTCATCAAGCTTCCCCTTGTATTCAGAATTTGTCAAGTCTAGAGCGAGAAATAGCAATGCAGCGCGATTTTAGATCCCAGCGACGACACCGTTTTTTTATCAACTACAAGCATTTCCATCAGTAGAGTTCTGTAGTACAATATTTTTCGGTTGTCGCATCTAATCTAATATCTAAGCAATAATTCAAACCTACTTTCACGTCCTCTTGTTTGATGAAGAATTTTTCATCTTCCGTTACAGATATGATACCACCAGTTCCCAAAGCAGCTAGCCACTCACGTACGTACCTGAAACATGCTAGTATAGTAGAATGCAAACCTAAGGGTTCAGTCGTTCTGATATTGTGATTTCTAAAATTCATGGGCTTCCTGTGACCTTGTGATTCCCTTTAAACAAGGAGCGCAACAGTTTTTCTATGCAGTTTGTATTATATAAATAAAGCTAAATGTTTGTCTGTCTGCATGTCATGACTGTCTGCGAGTAAAGGTTACTGCATGACGAAGGCACAGGAGCAGTATTATGTGAGCGGGCGCTAACGCGGCGCACGCGTATCTTCACGGTTACAGATCCTGCGCCTCATGCGCTCTGCGGCTAATAAAGCCGCGTTCGCGTCCAAAGTTTAGCGCATTCGTCATGCAGCAGCCTATATGTATGTGTACAGTCTGTTTCATCCCGGATTAGGCGAGACATTCTACGTGGAGCAGCGCATGCGCATCGCTGGAGGCTTCGCGAGCGCATAGCGCTGGCATTTTGCCAAGCAAAGAATAAGGAGATTGAAGAGACGCAGACAGGGGCTCTCAGCACGATATGATATATTGTAGCTGCGAAACGGAGCGAGCTGTTGCGAGGCGGGCTCCCGCCAGTCCAATTTCCGCCTAAAGCGGATCGAAACTTACTGTAGGTATGTTCCGAAAATTTTCTATTCTAAATCGATTCTGACCAAGCTTGGTACACATACACACACTTCGCGGCGGGGTATCGTAGGCTACTTTTGGTCAATGGTCAATATCGATTTTGTCGATTTTTGGCGGAATTTCATCTACGAGGCTGGAAGTTGGCACAGGGGGGTAAGTGAGCATGCTGATTACGATAGTAGTATTGAATGGTCAGGACGGAGCCGGGTTTGCCAGTTAAGTGCGAGTGCAAAGAGACTACCCGTTTCAACTTCAGCGCAGTGGTCAGAGTCATCATCATCAAAGAGACATCCAGAGACATCCTCGCTCTATAGCTGGTTAAGGATATCAAAAAGCAGGAATCGCAGATCACAGGTGTCACGACAATTGCAGAAATCACAGAAATAATACGGCCGAATCCTAACAACAAATGAATCTCTACCTTTCCTTGCATCCGCTCTCGTCTGCGACCTGAGCGGGAGTAGCCGGGTTGCTTTGGTTTCCGACCTTAGCTAGCGCTTCAAACAAACGAAGCCTTGTTCCTACAGCAATGCAGGCACCCATCATCCCATCGATTCCATATTGCTGAAAATATTCATAATTTTTTTAGAATACAATAACTTACTTTTCAGCTTCCATGACTCTCTAATATAGTCCAAGTCAAGAGCTAGATTTCGCACATTGCATGGTTCAGCTGTAGACTCACTATAAAGTGCGGTTCATAATTATACGAACACCTTGAATTTTGAAAGTTCTTGGACTTTTTGGAAGAAACTCAAAAAGCCGTTGGTACCACGCGATAGAGCACAGCCGAAAACGGTATATGATCCATAAGAATGGAAATCGATGTCAATCTTAGGAGTGTTTTTGCGCCTAATGCGAATTTTGAGCGGTTCATAATTATACGAACACCTCAAACAAAGGTCCATTTTTCATTCAAGATTGCAATCTTTCGAGTCCAAATTTTTTGTAGAGTTACAGTAACAAAGTCTGACATATCTGCTACACACTAAACCCAGTGCAATTCAAAAAGAGGATCTTTACTTTCTTTTGATGCTCTAAATGCTTTTGGAGTGATTGCGCTCCAAAAACATCCGTTCTTCCGTAGTTCACGCACTCTAATTAGCTTCCACCAAGGCTATGAGATAAAATAAGCTAAATCGATAGGTATTTTGTTTGACGCTTGGAAAATCTATGCGTTTTTCGTGCCGCTTTTCAATCAAGTTCCAACCTCACCCTAAAGTTGGCACAATTTCGACCCTCAAAACTCAGCTTTTCTCCGGCGCAAACACTTGATATGAAGCAGCTGCATTGTTTGCATGTTGATGTATCCATGTCAAAGTTTTTGGGTTTTTTGTAGAACTGATCTTGAGGCTATGGAGCTACAAACCAAATAAAGATGTAACTGCAATAGTAAAAACAGTGGTTTTCGTGAAATGATGTCTGCGTGGCCGAAACAAACGCTCAATGCTGCTGATTTTTTCTAGCCAAATACATTGTCTTGTGAGCTTCTACATACTATAAGCTTACTTCATTGTAGGACTTCAGAAGCTGAGTTTAGAAGTTTGAATTCGTGCTAACTCTAGGGTAAGTTTGAAACTTGGTTGAAAAACTGCACCGAAACGCAAAGATTCTCCAAGCGAAAAACAAAGTACCTTTCGAAGGAGCTTAATTTATCTCATAACCTTGGCAGAAGCTAATTAGAGTGCGTGAACTACAGAAGAATGGATGTTTTTGGAGCGCAATCACTCCGAAAGCGTTTAGAGCCATCTGGAAAAAAGTAAGGATCCTCTTTTGAACTGCACTGGGTTCAATGTGTAGCGGATGATTCAGACTTTGTTACTGTAACTCTACAAAAAATTTGGACTCGAAAGATTGCAATCTTGAATGAAAAATGGACCTTTGTTTGAGGTGTTCGTATAATTATGAACCGCTCAAAATTCTCGTTAGGCGCAAAAACACTCCTAAGATTGACATCGATTTCCATTCTTATGGATCATATACCGTTTTCGGCTGTGCTCTATCGCGTGGTACCAACGGCTTTTTGAGTTTCTTCCAGAAAGTTCGAGAACCTTCAAAATCTGGGGTGTTCGTATAATTATGAACCGCACTTTATGTAAACAACTTTGAATCTTCAATAGCTCTTCCATCGTATGAACCGAACTCCGCCTATTATTTTTGTATAGCTTGCTTCAACTTTATCACATTCTAGAATAACTCAATGATCCCTCTGCGTTACTTAGAATTATCGTAAAAACTTTGTATAGGCTTTTAAGCCATTGAAAGCTAGATGCTACCGCGGCAAGAATCTGAAACACTCGCTACTGAATTAGTCAGATCACTTGCTTTCGAAAAAAATTACAAGCTTTCTTGACCCCATATTCGCTTACGGCAGTTCATTTTATCAATCTTTCTCAGAGACTTGATCATCCCGCTTGATAACATGCAGAAAGTTTTTTCAACCGGTGTACGTGTCTCAAAAATTTTGAAGGTGCAAATGATGTGTTATCGCGATAGAATGCAGGGAAAATGTGTAATCCTATTGTAAGGAACGATACCCGATCTCCGTTCTATAGTAAAACGTATTCTGAGACAAAATCTACAAAATTTTAGAGAAAGTTCTGGTCTAGATTAGGTTGGAAACTAAGTTTTGCAACTCATACAATAACTTCGTTCTCTCAACATGGCGCACTCAGATTTGCCATTGAGTTATTATGCTACGACGCTAAGCTACAAGCGCAGCTGCTATTCTGCCAAATTCCGACGTCGCGGTGAGGGTTACGGTAGGTGTATGGTAAGATAAAAAACTGTAGAAATTGACAGATTTGGCTGAAAGTTGGCTTAGGGGGGTTATCCGACACGAAAACGATACTGACAAGAAAACTCCAGGTTCTCTCTTCTCTGAATCTGGGCATCTTATGTCGTAATTTGGTGTAAGAGATGTTTGCCAAGCCCAAAATAGTACGGTGAATCTTTGTTGAACTAATGTTTCAACACTCACACACACTAGTGTCGTCCGTTCGCAACATCTCTGCGGCTATCGTCCGCTGCTTTCTGTGGACCACTAACATCATCATCACAGTGGATCAACGACCTCCGAAGAAGACGTTGTTGTCGAATTGTTAGGTCAATAAAGATTCACCGTACATCTGCGCTTGGCAAAACATCTCTTACACCGAATGACGATACTGACAAGATTACTTTAGTACGGTATAGGGTTTCATTCTAAATTAGAGAGGTGAATATGAATATCCATTTGGCAGGTTAAATAACCCTACTATGTGAAGTTTCGGCGAATTTTGATGTTCCGACTCCTTAGTTTGACGGTTTTCCCTAGCAGCCTTGCACACAGCTTCGTGATGGTGCCGAATCTTGACTTGTCTCCATATTTTTTCTTTCTCACTGAGCCGAATGAGTCACCCTCTAGCAAGCAACAATTCCTATACAACCCCTCATTACTGCACATAGTCTAGGCTGCTAACGGCTTCATTTTGGCTTATAACCTCAGAAATTCTCGAATATCACTAATTCTACGAAAAATGTTCGGAATTTTTCTAATTCGTGTTTGAAATCAAAACATTCTCTGCATGATTGTAGCAACATTGTAGTGACATTGTAGCATTGCGCTCTACATATTGCCAAAGTTTGAGTATGCCACATCCGAAGAGTTAAAGTTATGGAGGAAGTGGCAGAACTTAGTTTTCAGCAAAATAAAGAGCTATTGACATTGAGATACATACCTTTGAGACTCTGTGATGCAGGGAGACATAAACTGTTTGCAAAAATGCGCTTTCATTCTGAGCTATGGAGCGGTTCTCCTATCGGCTTTGCTCGATACTTCTCCGGTCGAATCTTGGCAACGAAAGTAACTCGTTTGAGTGATGTAATTTTGCAAGTAGTAGCGCGCAACAGTTTTTTTCTTTTCTTAATCGATTGGCAATTACAGCAGTGCAACTTCTTCGCTTTGTTTTTGTTTTATAAATTTCTCCCGTCATTGTTTCTTGCTTTAAGCATTATATTTCTCAAAAACATGGGATTTCTTCAAATATATCCAAAATACCCCAACTTCGTAAAAAAAACAGGCTTTCAATGACGAAATTGCATGAAGGATGTTGAAAGTGAACATTCAGATACAGTCTTATACAAGGCAGGTAACGCTTGGAGCTGGCCTTCGTCCATGGTGGGCCATTCTGGACTTGCCCCAAGTAGGCACATAGTATCTTGGATAAACAGAAAACGTAAACCACTCACCAACAATTTCTGTTGAAATTCGGTTTTTTCCATCATAGCTTAGTCCGCTAAAACTGAAAAAGTTCAGAGTGTACCAAAACGATCACAAAGGCAAAGCAAGCACAGTACGACATTCTACATCTTTAGGTGTGAAGTGATTTTCCTTGTGCGTTCGTGTGAAAAAGACTTTCACAAGCAAATAATGTTTTCTGCCAAGATCGCTAGATTAGGACTGATCTCATTATCATCTAGCGCTTTGTTCTAAAATCGTTTGATGGGGGAGACGGTCAAGAGGCTCGATTTTTCCAGAGGTCACCAATACAACAACTCAGTTTACAGCTATGTAAGTCTTTCAAGAACGCCAAACAAAGTGCTTCAGCTTACTAAGCATTTGAAGCTACCGCTTGCTAATTTGGAAGGATTTTGATGAAAGCTTGATTGAAATATCCACGAATTCGCCAACGGTTGCATTTCACGGATTTTTGACCTCCAATACTTATGGTTTAAATATGCTTCAAGATAATGAGATCGAGCAATCCATGGGACAATCATACATATCCTTTTTAGAAATTTGAATGGCTTCTAGAACATCATAAAATACTAAGAATGCACTAATTAGTGTCCATATGGCAATAAAGTCGCGCCTCTTAACATACATCGCACTGATGGAGGGGAGAGGGTGTATGCACATCAGTTCGTGAGCAGATGCAGATCTTCAATTTACAAAAACAAGCTATCTACACATCCTTCGCGGTAAATTAAAAAACTTTCATGATACGCCAGGTACATATAAAACATATGTACTGTCTACTTGGCTTAGTCACAGAAGTTACAGAAGGCTGAAACGATTGGCAGAATTGATTGAAAATAAAAATTCAGCAAAGTAGGCGTTGTTTTGCCTTCTCCGCCATCGAATGCCGCTGTCGCTGTGTTAAATCACTTTTTCTCTTTCCGAGAAGTGAAGTGTGTGCGAGAGGACGTGCACTGGAGTATGCTTCGTTTTTACTACGACACATTACGGGCTGCATTCTTGCCCTTTGCTAATGCACGATCTCTACAGAGACGACTCAGTCACAAAAAAAGCTAGAATTATTAGCACCAGCTGTGTTGTACTTGAGTAGATTTTACTTTGAGATTAACGAGCGGATTGATACTAATTTTAGTGAACTACTACCGCTTTTCTTGAGATTTTTTGACCGTGTTTGACAAAAGCAGCAAGACCTAATGAACGATAGAAAAGTGGAATCTGTGATCACGATTATACCTTTTGACATCCATAGAATAGCAGAAACAAAATTGATTTCTAATTTAAATCTATTTATTCTTGTGCGAAAATGAGGAAAATTTTGAAAGTAATAAAATTATGATCTTAAACAAGCTCGACATAATGTAAGAACATGAACTGGATGTTTCTGAAATATAAATGAGCACTGACGAACAGCTGCGATATGGCGGCCTCCACGGAAGTGGCTGAGTCATGCACTTAGAGAAAATGCAACATATTTGAAGCAACTTTTTCTATTATTAGAAATTCCTTGCTGCTAGCACATGGAAGCGAGAAACTGGTGTGGTTTTGCAGAACTGTTTTTTTTTAATTATTCCACATTACTCCTTTTATAAAGTAGTAGCTTTAGTACCTTAACACTGAGCAATACGAACTACATATTATTTAACCTGATTTCGAGTTATGAAGGATTTATGTATGAGAAACAGTCCCAGTTATTACATTCACACAAGAATTCATTGAGAAACAAAAGTTTAATACCTTCCATAGCAACCTTTCAAGTATGGCGGACAAAGCCAATCGTTAAGCTAAAATCTCACTTTATAACATTATCAGATATTTTACAGGTTTTCCTGGTAAGGAATATACTAAGGATGGCTAGCAAACCCATTTTCTGTGTTTTCCAAAGTGTTATCCTACGTTTTCAATTGATTTTTTCCACGTCAAACAATATAACTTTTGACCTAAAAATATTCATTTAATTTGTCTGAGTACTAATTTGGCAACTAGACTGCTGAGATCATCGTCTTACAGAATAATTACTTTGTAAATGAAATATCTTTGATGTGAGAAACACTTACAGTAGCCCTCACCCAACTTTCGCCTTTAACTGCACTACCTTTCTACATTAGGATTTGCGGTGTTAATTAAGTGATCCTTTTTTTCTAATTATGCAATTATTTTCGTGTTGCCTTACATGGTTTCAAAATGTTTTAGTTTTCCATTCTTCTCAATTCTCCAAAGGTGGCAACTTGCTTTAAAGGACATCGCAAATACTTGGCTATGTACGGTCATACAGAAGAAGTTCATCCAAACCAATGCCGGAACTTGGTCAAATAACAAGAGCACGATTCTGTCGTCTCTATAATTTGCGCGGAATCTCTACAGAATTTCATACATTTCATTCAACAGCACACTGCTCTGAGGAAAAAGTGGGAGCAGAGAGTTTCCATTTCATGTTCACCAGCTAAATCTCAAGAAAGCTGTTGACAATCATTATATCTTGTAAGCCGTCAGAAAGTGAAGCCGTCAAAGGTTGTGTTTTATGGGCAATCTGCTTCTTGATGTGCAATGTTCTGGATAGAATACATTTTGCAATAATTAGCGAATTCATGGCGACAAATGCATAATGCTCGTTAGCTTAGCTAAATGAAGTCAATGATTAGGATATTTTCTTTCACAGAGTTCAGAATAGTCAAATACGTAATATCAAATTCTCTCCTATTTATTAAGCATAAACAACTGAAAGCAAACATCCGCCTATAAGATGAATAAGAGTTATATGGTCAACGGAATGTTGATGGCAGCATTCTTCGTATATTCTACAGTTCACAGTTTACGTTCAATGCTTTACGCATACGTAAAGAATCTGTCCCTCAAAATAGGGAGTAGGAACCAGGGTAACATTATTGAATCCGGCTTCTTTCAGCAATTTCGTAGCTCGCTCCTTGCCCCACATCGTACCGAGGGCCAAAGCATCTGTGATTGACAAAGGATTAACTCCTAATCAATTTTGTTTCAAACAGATAAGCATAAAAAAGGAAATTTTGAAGTACCTTCAGAGTTGCTGCCCATTGCCAGACAACCAAACATTGAGCCAGCATATCTCATCGCTGCCATCTGTCCCAGTTCTTCTTTATCTTTGTAGATATTGGAAGTGCCATAAATCTAAGAAGACATTTGGTACTTTCGTATTTCCGAGGAAATTCTTGTTACCTCCAGCATAGCAAACACTCCCGATGGCTTGAGTACACGATACACCCCTTTCAGGCACTGAAAATATTATAAAATGAAAATTGCTTGCAACAAGCACCTATCAACCACAAGAAGGAAAACAATAAATTCATAATTTAGTTGTCTGAAGAAAAACATGATTCGCAAATAATTCACGTGCACAAACATTGCGACATTTCAAATTCCGAAATTCTTGAAGAGCTCACCAGATCTGGTCTTAGCTGACCATGACAGGCGTCAAAAATGGTAACAAGATCGAATTTTTCGGTCCAATCTTCATCCAACTTGCCGCCGTCCATTTGCAAGAATTTCAAGTTATCGTAAGGCTCACCAGTGTTCTTCCTTGACTGATACATCAGAACAGTTCGAAGATGCAAATGCCTACTCTCCTCACCGTTGCTGATTAGCAAGATCAATGGCTGTTTGTGATATATCGATTCCAGTAAAGTTCGAATTTGGGTATGTGTCAGCTAAGAATGAGAAAAACTCAAATATGTACAAGATACAGAGTAATATGAAAGACATACCCAGAAGGGTACAGTGGAATCCCTTGCCGCAGCCTATATCCAAGCAAGTCATGTCACCTTTTTCTAACTTTTCCTTAAAATAGTAAAAATGGAAGTTAAAGGTGTATGTAGAGAAAGTGCTCTACCACTTACTATTTTTACACAGTAAATGCAAGAAAATCCTGAACAATTTTTTTCATGCCACATTGAACAATAAAAATAATCCTATACCTACAGGGCAATGACCGTCCGAGGGCGAGGTAGGGGAGGGGGTAGAGAAGGCAACTGAGAATGTGTCGCGTTTTTTTTAAGAAGTTGCCTCTATGAGATATAAAAATGCATAAGTGAGTTGTTTATACTTGTAAATAATGAAAGCTTTCAAAATTTTTTTGAAATAATTCAAACTAGCCTAGTAGGTCAAGAGGAGATCAGGCGTACCTGTCTGAGGGAAGATGATTGTATCAAGGTGATCATTGGGGGGAGGGAGTAGGGGAGGGGGTCATAATCAAAATCATTGCCTAAAAATAAGGGAACGCTGCTACGATCGAGTAAGGTGAATAAGAAAAGCACTCGAACCGGTAAAATTCGAACCCTCACCAAAACGTAACTAGCGGTCATTCTAATGAATAGAGTTGGTTGAGAGCAGCATACCAAATGATTTGCTCCCAAAGTTAAAATTTTAATCTTCGTCTCCTACCGTGCACCAGTAAGCTAACCAAAATGGCCTGCCATGTGGAAAAAGCGAATCTTGACTGCAGACTCAATTAGTCTTCAAGCCGACTCACCTTAACACCCACTCCGATGGCAGGAATGAAGTCTGAGATAAGGTGCTGCTTATGCTTTGCCTCACTAAAGTTGGCCATTATTTCAGGAAATTCTGGGGAATAGTCCGTGTGGTTGAGCCCTATATCATAATATTTCAATTAAGTGAATTTCATTGCTATCAACTACAACTTACCGTACGGTCCATCCTTTTTGAATGCATTGCAAAGCTTATCGTATGGCTTCAGAAAATTTGGCAGAAAAGAGTTTATCAAAACATTAAAACTGGATAGCAATTCCTAAAAAACCCTTCTGAAATTTAAATATTGAACAAACAATGTTCAACTTCATTTTACACATAAATAAATAAATAGCGTCTTTCAATTTCTATAAGCAATGAAGTCTGTACTAAATTTAGGAAACTTATGCACAGTGCGCTACTAATAAGAAAATATTTATAACGGAACTCTTGGATGACAAAAAATGCAATAAATTACAGTGAAGATGAATTATGTAGTTCCAGCTACATTCAAAACAGGCATGGAACTTGTCACTTGAGAAAAAAATCGGTCTTAAACTTTCTTCTGTAGATATCGATGTGATAACAGTAAAGCGGTTATAGTTGTATCAACTCTCGCAGTCCTTTGAGAATTTTTGGCGGATTAACCGTAATTTTCCGCGTAAAGAAAGATGCACTACGTTGCGATTCTGGAGTTTGCATGAAGATTGCAGATTGAAATAGCTTGCTTACCCGATCTTCTAATCTTAAGCCAAAAGAGCGACAAAGGTTCACCTCAATGTTCTCCTTTTTGATGAAGAACTTTTCGTCTTCCGTGACAGATATGATATCAGCTGTGGCCATTACTGCGAGCCACTCCTTGACATATCTAGAACTTTTATTTAGCATATGCGATGTTTTTTTTTGTTTTTGACCATCTCCAATGATCTACAGCAAAGTGTACCTTTCCTTACATCCGCTCTCCTGAGCCACCTCAGCAGCAGTTGCTGGCTTCTCTTCGCTTCCCACCTTAGCAAGCGCTTCGAAAAGGTGCAGTCGATTACCGACGGCTATGCTAGCCGAAATCATTCCATTGATGCCGATTTGCTAGAATTCAAAATTTGTGAAGTCGGTAAGAACAAATAGCCACTAAGATTACATCATATCAAGGTCTTACTCTTTCTACGACACCGCTTACAGAACGGGAAATTCGGAATATTCTGCAGAATTCCGTGAATGTCGCGCATTTACATCCCCGGAATATCGCCATAATTTCCTTCGAAATGCATGGATTCTGGATGTGAAAGAAGTGTTGTACTCAATCCATTGAGGCGGATCTTTTTTACATAGCCTTGCCGTAACTCTCAGGGTAGGGTAGGTGTACGGTAGAAGAGGATTTTTCACTTCTGGGGACGGGAGGGATCAATGAATATAGTATTCGTGTCCTATACTCACACCCACAGGTGGTTATAGTAATGACAAGCTACTAATCTGAAGCTACTAAGCAAATAAAATAGAGGAATAACAACAACATCGACGACATCATTACGGCATGTTCGCACTTTTTTGTAAAATCACGACTAATACCATCGCTTACTCCTCCCTCCCCCCCCCCCTTCCCAAAGAGCTTTAGATAAATCGGAAAAGCATTCACTTATTGCCTACACCTACCGTATACTGAAAATTACGGTATGGCGTACCGAGGGAATGGATCGCGAAATTTTTGAAATTTATTTGCATAAGTTATAAAAATGTGCAGTTTATTTGTTTATACTTATAATTAATTAAAATGATTTTTAAAAATTTTCAAAAATTCGTTTTAGCCTTATAAAAAATTTTTTTCGGGGACGTGTCTGACGCCACACTCCTTTTCTCTGAAACTGAGCCTGCGAAAATTTTAGGAAGCGTACCAAAAAATTTTTTGAAGTGCTTCTTGTCACCTCCCCTCTCCCCACCCTCCAATTCGACAAGGCGATAAAGGCGATGACCAAAACATCCTCCTCGATAAGCTGAGTACAATACTTCTTTCAGATCTAGAATCCCCACATTTTTAGGGAAGTTATTCCGAAAAATCCGCGGAATTCCTATGTAGCGAAATTCACGGAAATTTCGCACGTTCTATGAGCGGTATTGTACTCCTATGCCGCTGCCAGAGAATGGGAGTGAGAAATATTAAATCTGTGTTCATCTGTAGAAACTATGCAGAAGAATAGTTTTTTACTAGAAGAAGAGATGGCTATGCAGACAAAGATATGGGAACCCGCGCACTTTTCCGCTGCTCAATAGCTGTGTAGAATCAAAGAGCCTGTCTGAATAGTCCAGGAGGCCATGTACCAGGCGCTTGTTACCGTATCTCTCTTTTGAGTGAATGATAAACGATATTTTTCATGAAAAATGTAAACTAAAAAGTGATCGTAAGCAACAAACCAGCACTCTCTTTTGGAAATCGGTTTTTTCAGCCATTACTCGTTTGCTCTGAAAAACAAAAAGCTTTTGAAGGCAAAAATCGCTTTATAGCATCTAAGACAGTAAGTAGGCAGGATTAGTCAATGCACGAGCTGTAAGAACGGCTGCAAATCGTTTCGCTACGCGTTCTCACAATACAATAAGTGGCTATCGATTGTGTAATGGAAACACAAAAAGTGACCAGCTGCGGTGCACCGTCCACGCAAACATCGAAGAAAGAAGAAAGTGCAAGTTTTGCAAGATGGAGAGATATTTTGGGCGAAGGAAGAAGGCAGAGAAATGGGGAACGTAAATGGCTAGGGATGCCGCCGTTGTTGCTGATTAAGAGTTTCGATGCGGCCTTGTCATTTGTTTCAATCTGTCTTACTGCAATCAAAGCAAAGAACATAGTGATGTACTTTTTTCGATTGGTAGTACCTTGCATATCACCTCACTGAGTCAATTGTTCAAAAAATTCAAACTCGCATAAACAGCTCAAAAAACAACGTTCTGTGTTGTGTTAATTTGCGTTATATTTTACTCAACTAATGGGATCCTCAGAACTTGAATTGTGTTTTTTACCGCTTCACCTGCCCGCTTCACCTGGGGCAAGAAAAAAAAGAGAAGCGCAAATTGAGCACAACACATGAACATTGCTCTTTGAGCAAGAGGCCCGTTTCCCCCTAAAGGTTACCAATTCTACAGCTCAATTTAGAGCTACACAAGTCTTCAATAATACCAGATAAATTTCTCTAACTTAATAGCTATGAAGTTACCACATGCTGACTACAAGTTTGGCCGGTTTTAGTGAAATATTGACCGAAATATCCACAAAATTGCCATCGGCTGCATCGCGAGTTCTGACCTCCAACATTCATATTTTTTGTTTATTTTTAAGATAGTAAAGATGAACAGCCCATGTAACGATCTTTTATTAGATTGATTCATAATAAATGCACGCTGTTTGAGAATCAACTTTGAAGCGCTGTAGTTCTTTTCCCAAATTATCTTTCAAACGTGATAATGACTATTTTAAAGTTGTAACCTTCATCCTTACAATAAACTTGTTTGTTTGTCTATGATTAGTACGAGAAAGTTTGTTCAATCCAAAGAATGCCATGGAATTTTTAAGAAACCTCTATTTTGAGAAAGCATAACTTACTTTGAAATGTTGGAGAATAGCGCAAACTTTGCTCATTGTGTAGTCAATGGTCTAGAAAGCTTTGCCGTGAGACGCGCAATTTACGCAATTTTTTTAGGAGAAAATACAGCAAAATTTTGAAGGTGATCACTTTTTCTAGCTTTTTGAAAGAGCGAAAAATTGCTTATTCAGAATTTTTTTTTGATTTTTTCGCCATTGAGAAGCTGAAAATACTCACCGCTTTTCCTTTGCTCATTGTGCTTACACTTACTGCGATTATTATGCTTATTTTTCGGAATCATCACGTTTAATTTTCATAGAATAGAGCAAAAAACATAAAAGGAAAGATATTCAATTTTGTCTTCGATATTTAAGAGCGTGGGACTTGACATATATACATAGCCCCATATAGCCCCCATGCATAGCCCTCCATAACATCCCCACGAAAAAGAAAGCATAGCATATGCAAAAAACTAGAAGAAATGTCCTTTCAAACAGCTCAAAGATCTTATAAGAAGAGAACTTTTTCAAAATTCACTCTAAGTTGTTTTCTCTTATTATGCTTCGGAAGACTCAGTTTCCTTACAAAATCAGAGCTTGGAAGAAGAGGTAACAGAAGAATTTTGAATCGACCTATATTCCAACGGAAATGTCGAAGTTCCGAAAACATTATTGAGCGCTAAGAATGTGCAATTTGGTGTACATACGGCAAGAAAAATCGTTCCTCTTGACATGTACCCATCTGCACGTTGCAACTGACACTGAGACTCTTCAAATATTTACTAAACCCTCTTTTTTTTCGTTGCACTGCTGCTCATTAAACGCCTTCATCATTTTTTGCGGGTATTTTGGCCCATTGGCAAGTAATTTACTTGGTTCAAACTCAAAGCGCGAGGTAGACCTGGCATCATCCATGAATGGAATGCTCGTTCGAACAAGCTAATGATAATGCACATTACAACCTTCAGAGAACAGACTACACTACCCCCTCCCCGCCTCACTACTGAAAATTTCCGAAAAATTCTGCCCTGCACAAATAGTAGGAATCAACAGTGAATGGAGTCGAGTATCTCAATTCGGATAGTCCCATTTGAACTTCCTTGACCTTCGCTTGTTTCGATTTATTCATATCCATCTTGTACCAAATGTCAATTATTCTGCCATTCTACAGTCTATGGGGTATCGTCAGATTCTGCACTTTTATAAATATTCGATTTGTTGGTAGGTAAAATAAGCAGTTCTGGAGTTAGAAAAGCTCCAACTTTTTCAGCACCAGGCACAGTGACGTCACGGAGACTTTCAAGACCTTTATCGCTTGACTTCACTGAAGTTTCTTCGCACAACTTCCCTCTCCTGTAAAAAATTTTTATTCCAGTTATTATATAACAACACATAATGACATTGTTACATTGTATAAAAGGTGCACCTGCTGAAAAGGCAGAAAAAGTCGGAAAAGTCATTCTTTTCTGCAGAGATACAGAATGTTGCTCTCGAAATACGGTGTTGGAATGATGTCGACGTTGTGGAAGCCTGCATCGTGGAGCAGCTTCTTCGCTCGTTCTTTGCCCCACATAGAACCGAGACAAAAGGCATCTAAAAAATTAATGACATATATAAAAGACTAGTTCTATTCAAAACCCAACCTTTTGAGTTACTTCCGACTGCCAAGCAGTTAAAGAGAGAAATTGCATAACTAAGCCCTGCCTTCTCTCCAAACACTTTCTTGTCTTCGTAAATGTTAGAAGTTCCATCTATCTAAATACTGACCTGTTGGTGTGGAAATGTTCATAAGGTTTCTCACCTCCACCATTCCGAATACACCGCCCGGTTTGAGAACCCGATGAATTTCTTTCAAGCACTAAATAAAAGGATAAATATGTATTATGTTGGTGCAAAAGTTCTGTCGTTTCATTTTCAAAAATTTGTAACTTCGCGAGATTTCAACGAATTTGCTTGCTTTTAATTTTATTAGAAAGATTAGGTCTTTCGCTTTCAAATGCTGTTTCGCGGAGCTTCTGTTTCACATTGAGTGTAGAGATAAAAATGGAAAACTAAGACCATGTAAACTTTGACCATTTCAAGTTAGGTCACCAAAAATCTGGAATGCTGCAGAAAAATCTGAAATTGTCAGTACTTATGTTTTTTGGCCTTCCCTTTGCAACTGTGAAAAGTTTGTGCTGTTTGGACGTCTCTGTGAGAAGTTATGAATATCGAGTTTACTGTGGAAAACGCCAAAATTAATTAATTTGTCAATTTTCGCGAAAATCATAACTTTTCACAGAGACGTCCAAACAGCACAAACTCTTCACAGTTGCAAAGGGAAGGCCAAAAAACATAAGTACCGACGATTTCAGATTTTTCTGCAGCGTTCCAGATTTTTGGCGACCTAACTTAAAATGGCCAAAGCTTAGATGGTCTTACTTTTTCATTTTTATCTCCGCATCCACTATGAAACAGAAGCTCCGCGAAACAGCATTTGAAAGCGAAAGACTTCTTCTTTCTAATAAAATTACAAGTAAGCAAATTCGTTGAAATTTCGCGGAGTTACAAATTTTTGAAAATGAAACGACAGAACTTTTGCACCAACCTAATATTTTTATACAGGATGCACCAAAAAAGGGGACACTGTTTGATCATTGATAATCTCTTGCTTTCACGTGTTTAGGGTATCATTCGAGCGAGGTTTACCTTAGATTTACAGTATGGACTGAATTATCAGTCTATACTGTAAATCTCTTTATTAGTGTAAGAATACAGTATGTACTTTGAGAAGGATTTTAGGAACCTGAAAGCGATTTTTGCCTCAGAAAGAAACCAAACAAGCCATAAACTCTTGTACTGGACTAATCGGGGTCGCTGATTCTATATATGAATTTGTACTTCACTGCAATGCTTCATTCATAAGTTATTTCAGGTTTGGGGTAGCATCTGTTTTTCCAGTGTTCATTAGAGGTATAATTACACCATTAAAAGAGCCCAAAAAACTGGTAAAAGCTGTATACTGGAATCAGCACCATGGAATCCTTAATTATACAATTTTTGATTTTTGAATTTCTTCCAATTAAGGCCTTTTCCATAGTAGCGCTCTACGCTAAATGTACCGTAATCCTACAGTAATGAAGTGAGTGATGATTAATGATTGATGAGTGTAAGTGATTGATGATTCGGTCCAAACTGCCAAATTCAAGTTGATCTAAGTTGATCTAATCTAAGTTGATCCTTGCTTTACAGAATGATACCTCAAGCATGGTGGACGTGGAAACGAGACGTTATTAACGATCAAACAGTGTTCACATTTTTTTGGACACCGAGGACACCCTGCATTAGCGGGTTACAATCTTTAGTTATCATATGTAAGTCGTAATAGGTTAACGGCAAACAGAAAGCAGATAAAAAATAGTGTTGAAAAACACTAAGGACCTACTTTGCGAGACGGACAAATCAGTTGCAAGAGTTTTGTGGTTTTCTCAAAGGTGCGTTCATGAATTTCTGACTCACCAAATCAGGTCTAGTTTGATCGTGGCAAGCGTCAAAGACTATGACTAAATCAAATTTATTTGTCCACGCAGCATCCATTTTTGCTCCATTCATTTGCAAAAATGTCAGATTGTCAAATTTCTCGCCGTTAATTTTCCTGCAAACGTGGAAATACTAAAAGAAATATAAGAGAGACTGAACAGTTTTCGCACCTCTGCTCCTTTGCCAAGCTGATTGCGTCTTCTGTGTAGTCTATCCCGATGAAGTTTGATTTGGGAAATTCTTTTGCTTAATCGGGCATGTTGCTTTTTCGTAAGAGAACGATCAGGTTAGTGCAAACCTAAAACTGAAGAGTGGAGTCCATTACCGCAGCCAACATCGAGCACTTCTATGCCTTCTTCAAGCTTCCTCTGAAAAAGATCAAAAACGATGAAAAATGCCTAAGTCTTTCCAAAAGCTTGGTTTGAAGGGTTCGTCACCTTATCAGAAAATATGTTTGGAAAACGCCTGTTGTATCTTCACTGATTCAATATGACTGGATTTTATTGCATTTTCCCCAAATGAATTCTGTTTTTAGAGTTTATCTCACAATTTGTAATTCTATGTAGAGACGATGGATTATCACGAATTTCGCTCATTTTAAAATAGTAGTTCATAAGTTTTGAATTTACAAAAATTAATTCAGGATTTTGCGCCTAATAAATATTTCGACGATAGGAGATCATAGAAGGCGGTATAACAATGAGTATGACTTCTTCTTCCCCCCCCCCTCTCTTTTTTCCGTACTAAATCAAAACTTTGAGAATTTTCATTTGTTCAACTCTCGAATGTACAAAGTTCCTCGCTTTACCAATCAGTTACTGAATACAATTTGATCCTTCCTGCCTTGGTCAGTTTTTTTTTTGCAAAGTCGATTTTTTCATCATCTATGTCATACAAATCAAATCAAATTGAATAAGTTGAAATAGCAGCAGAAACGGCGAACCGCCCTAACAAATACAGTTTTGCACACTTACAAATCTCTCATCTAAGGGATGTGAAACGTAAAAGCGGCAACAAAATAATTATTTCAATAATCAAAAAAGTAAAAATAAAATGTAGAATAAAAATAAAACATTGACAAACTTTTGCTGCGACTTTCATTAGAACAAAGCACACTATCTGTTTCAAAAATGCCATAATTCCCAACAACTTGCAGAGTGTACCTTGATATCAGATCCTAGAGCGGGCACGAAGTCTGGAATCATGTGCTTTTTATGAATCGCTTCACTGCACTTGGCTATCTGTTTGTATACATTTATAGTATAATCCGAATAATCGAGCCCTATAATAAAGCTAATGAACGATATGTAGCCGAAGCTTAAAAATTACCATTGGGTCCATTTTTCTTTATAACTTCACAAAGTTTATCGTAGGGCCTCATCGAAGTAGGCAAGAAAAAGTTCATCATTATAGCATTGCCGGTGAGATCCTGAAAATCCTTAATAATAGTCATATTCTTAGCGTGGACAACCAAAAACGCTGCATTAAGGAAGCTTCTTAACTATTTCCTCCATAATTCAGCAAATTTACGCTAAGTTTTCTTTTCAACTTTACTAACCAAACTGACATAACCATTTTCTTGAACTGGATACCTCAATGTGCTCCTTTCTGATGAAGAATTTTTCGTCTTCCGTGACAGTAATGATATCTGCAGTGCCCATCACTGCTAGCCACTCTTTCACATATCTGAATCCATATACATTTGATTACGTATTTTTTTGTCTCTTATTCAGAACCTTTCCTTGCAGCCGCTCTCCTGCGCGACTTCCGCAGCGCTAGCTGGCTTCTCCTCGCTGCCCACCTTGGCAAGTGCATGAAACAGCTGCAACTCGTCACCGAGAGCGATACAAGCAGAAACCATTCCATAAATGCCAATTTGCTAAATTTAGAGTATTCCTTGATTTTCTGCAACACGCACGATTCACAGAATAAGCCTCATTTTCATTTGTAGGCATTACTGCATTTTCTCTCATTTTTAAACTCAGTAAAATGCCGAGATTTGCTAGGAGCACGTTGCGAAATTTCTATTTGTTTCAATACTTCCTGTTTGTTTCGCAATAGCAAACATTAATTGCAAAATAAAGGAGAGAAGGAAAAATAAGTTTGTGCTGCGACACAGTAAAATTTTGAATGCTAAGCTCGTGACTATGCTCTATTCTTAGAATGAAAACTTTTTCACAAGGCTCATGAATGACCACTGCGCTCCCGCGCGGCCTTCTCGCCTGGACTCTGCACCTCTTTCGCGAGGATGCTTATTATCACTTTCCCACCACGAGCGTGGGAAAGGCGGAGCTTCAGTCAAGCTAGTCAAGTGCCACCACGAGCGTGGGAAAGGCGGAGCTTCAGTCAAGCTAGTCAAGTGTGCGAGAATGATTAGGGAGCATTTCGCAAAAGAGGCGCAAAGTCCAGGCGAGGCGGCCACGCGGGAGCGGAGATGCTGCTACACCCGACTCTGCAACTGATAAGCCCTGTATAATAGTTACAAGAGTTCTTCCTGTACTCTTACTATGTTTGGAAATGTTGCATAAAATATCATGTTACTTTTGCTGTTAATTTCTGAAAAAGAGTAAATCAATACACGTTATACCAGATGGTTTTTGTATATTTAGTAAGTTTGTGCTCACTGCGGGCTGGTCTCATATGCATATAAAGCCTTCCCCTTGAGTACCCGGGAGGGAGTAGAGGAACGAGCACCCTTATTAGGTACCGCCTCCGTAGACTGCTGGTCTTTTCGCTTTAATATCGTATATCGTGTTAGGATCAGTAGTCCGCGGAGACGGTGCCTAATTGAGGTATTTGTTCCTCTATCCCATAGGAGGTACCCATACATGCTTTGCACTTTTTTCAGAGATGCAATAACCGTATGCTGCGTGTAATAGTGTTAGTCACCAATGTTCTTTTTTGTTCATTGTGCTTTTGCAGAACTTCGCGTGCAAGTATAGGGCATTTAGAAAATCGTGACGATGGCGCGACCGCGCGCGACACGCACGCCACTTCCGGAAATTGTATTTTCTTGGTTTTCATCTCTAGTCGAATGGTTTTTTGCTTACGTATATTATAATAAATATTCAGACAATATTATGATAATATTCAGACACTGGAAGTGGCTGAGCTGAACCTTGAGTGATTCCTTCTTGTATTAGCGTTTTATGCTCCTATGGGCGCAAATCCGCAGTAAAATCCGTCGTCACGATTTTACAAATGAACTATCTACACTGTTTATTGCTGTCTGGCAGCATCTCACAAAAAACCTTCTGCGTGGTTGATGGTCTATAATTAAACTTTCTAACGTACCAGGTTTGCACATACTACGTGCAATTCGTAGAGTCTTGACCCACCGTTAGCTTTTTTTGGAAGTCGGTTTTCTCAGCCATTGCTGTCCGGATAGCTAAAAACCACTATATAGAACATCTATAAATCGGCAGCACAAATGAACGCAGGGGAGAGAGAAATGTGCGTTCTAAGCGCGAAGGTGTAGAAGCAGAGAGAATTGATTGTTGTAATAATAGTGATTGTTTGTTAGGGTATAAATAACACAAGTTCTCTGGCCAAAATGGGGTAGATGCAGCGTCGTTTTTGCTATCACTGGACGCGTTTACGCTCATGATGCTCTACAATCAAGCCGACTTCCTAGATTCTTATAATATCTTTCGTGTTATCTTGATGCAGAGATTTGGTAGAGGTCACTACTGTGCCATTTAGATTTATTTGCTCCAAAAGGCATCAGCTAGTCTTACTGCGATTTTTCAGTAAGGTCGAAGGCATACCTCGCGCGATTCCGGTCACTGCGCGATTTGGCACAACGGTAACTCTTTTTAATTCGTCGTTAAAGCGCTTTCTTAGGTCAGAACTCTATCCGTTTGGAACAACTTACACAAGCTAGCCGCCTATGCGTTCAAGAAGCGTCCACCATAAATCATAGAACTCTGGCAACTCGCCAAGTCGCGTGATAGTGGCGATTTGCCCGAATCGCGTATTGCGATTTGACAATATTCCAACCGTCCATACTCACTGTAAGCACGTTTTAAATGACAGAAGATAGGGCATTTTATTAATCCACGTAAGTCATACACACTATGCATGTGCATGCTAATCTTGGATCTGAAGACTTCAGGCGAATTGCCAAATCGCGTCGCGACTGAAATCGCGTGAAGTATGCCCGGCGCTTTAGACTTGACGTGTGTGCGCTCTTTTCCAAAAGCTAGAACATGATATGTTTCTTTTAATGCAATGTTTACCAATGGCAATAGGAAATGTCGAACATCAAACGGTCAGGTACAGCGGAAGAACGCCGTAAGTGTGAGCCGCCTTTCGCGACCACATGGTCTTTTTCGTTGTTGCATTTCGTTGCAGGACCAGTAGTCGGCGGAGGCGGCCCGAACTGGCGGCGCTCTGTTTCACTACCTACGATGGGTAAACCATTTTTGGAAATTCGAGTGCCACGAAAAACGCCTTTAATTCGCGCATACCATATTTAGATTGATCCTTTTTCATAATCTTCAGAAACACCAAATAACCCTCCACATAGACAAGTGTAGAAATTTCAAAAACTGCGAGAAGCAAAGATCTCTATTTTTGTGGTGATTCGATAATTGATACAATACCTTTATTTTTGGAATATTTCTAGACAGGTAATATGAGATAAATTTAGAAATAGCAAAACTTAAACGTATGCGGAAGATTGCTTGTTATCTACAATTGTTTACTAGGAAGATGAGCTCAGTCAAGTGATGGCTTTTGACCTGAACATTTATTAATGCCACTTATGAAAACTGAATCCGCGAGAACCGGCATTCAGTCTAATGTACACCATCCATTGAATTCATCAAATATTTTCCTGAAATTCCTCAAAGCTTACGAAATCCAAATTTTGGTTTGGTAATTAGACTATGCTAACAATTGTGAGTTTAGAAGATGCTTCCAGGGTCTGAATTAATAGTATAGGAAACCGTTGAGTAACACATGCAATCAGAGTGACATTCTAAATTGTCGTTTGTATGGTGAAATGCTGAACAATAGCTAGATGAATCAGAGTGCAAAGGGGATACGTGTACGTTATCATGGCGAGCAGGGTCCAAAAGCCTATTGTAAAATTTTTTTTTACAAAATCACGAAAGCCATCCTCCAGGGTCTGGGAGGGGAGGGAGAGGGTTGGTTCTGGTAAAAATAAAGCAAAGCTACAAATTAGACTTCTTTGCGCAAGCATGTTTTAAGGGGGGCACAGGGGGGTAATCGAGCATGCTGATCACCCCCACGGGGTGATCAGCATGCTCGATTACCCCCCTGTGCCAAATCCCAGCCCCGTAGCTCAAACTTTGCAAAAAAATCGATAAAATCGATAAAAGTAATGCACGATTTTAAAAACTAATATTGTATTCGGAATCCCCATGCTCACTTACCCCCCTGTGCCAACTCGCAGCCCCGTAGCTCAAATTTTTCAAAAAATCGATAAAATCGATATCGATCGATACGAAAAGTAGCCTATGACACCCGCCGGGGCCCGAAGTGTATGTGGGCCAAGTTTGGTCCCGATCGGTTCAGAAATGGAATTTTCTATTCGGAACATACGTACACACAGACAGACATACAGACATACATACAGACAGACAGACAAACAGACATTCAGCTTTATATATAAGATAAGTTTTAAAACTGATAAAAACCACTTGTTTTTTGACTAGCGAAAAACGCTAAACCTGTTATCCCTTATGACTTCATCGTGTTCTCAGAATCCGAGTTTCAAGCAAATTTATCATTTCTGAATTTCTTCCAAACAAGTAAATAAGCTGCGCTATGCCGAGTACTAGAGGAAGAATTCAGGGCGGGCTTAACTTTATTCTCATCGCATACAATCATATACTAGGGTAACACTTGAAATTTGACTCGTTCTAATATTGAGAAAATATATATGGTTTTTGCTCTTGGCTTTATTTTCATACAACTCTGTCCTCATCTGATAAAAACCAAGGTAAAATTACCTATGGTTACCATGGTATGTCTTACCGCTCTTCAAGTTTGCTTCGTTTGCGGTTTTTCATCGCTTCACTAATTCGTCTGACTTGTACAGCTGATACTGAGATCTCAGTATGATTTGATATTAGATTATTGAATGAAAGCTTACACTCTAATAGTTTTCATTCACTTAGTCACTATCTTGAGATGTTTATTTTCCGATTTATTACATGCATATACAAATACGTACTGATACTTCGTGACATCAGAATCATGTGCTTACTTAAAGAGAATTGAGGGCCTTTTACTCTTTTTTGCAAAGATACAGAACATTGGTCTCGAAGTACGGTGTTGGAATGACGTCGACATTGTGGAAGCCTGCATCGTTCAGCAACTTCTTTGCTCGTTCTTTACCCCACATGGAACCAAGACAAAGGGCATCTGAAGTGACTTCTTAACCTCAGATTATAAACTACTTAAACTAACCTTTCGAATTACTTCCGACTGCTAGGCAGTTGAACAGAGAGATCGCATAATTTAATGCTGCCATGTCACCAAACACTTTTCTGTCCTCGTAAATGTTGGAAGTTCCGTTGACCTGAGGAAGATTTTGAGAATTGAGATTACGAGGATTTCGTTGGGAAGTAGGCTCACCTCCACCATTCCAAAAACACCTCCTGGTTTGAGAACACGATAGATCTCTTTCAAACACTGAATACAAATATATTGAAGGGTTTATAGATTTTCGTTTTCTTTATCATAATATTTTTTTCACGTTTTGCGACGTTTTTTGCTGTCAAAAAAAAGACACTGAAAAGTTTTAACTTGCTTGAGAAACCGTCAACGTCTCAAGTAAAATTACTGTTCCACTTAGCGAAGATGAGGTAAAATCAGACAAGCAATTTTATTCTTCTTTGTCACATTTCCCATGGAGAGAAGATCAAGATGGTACAAGCATTCAATATTCATGAATTCGCCGAAATTCCTTAAGGACACGCAAAAATCAAGTCCTCTCAACATGAATTGAATTCTCGAAACTGCTTATTTTTGGAGTATCTCAACTAACCAGATCAGGCCTAGTTTGGTCGTGGCAAGCGTCAAAGATTATAACCAAATCGAATTTATTTGTCCATTCTGGATCCAATTCTGCTCCATTCATTTGCAAAAACGTCAGATTATTGAACTTTCCGCCATTAGCCTTCCTGCAAATACTTCCATAAAAGGGAGGGATCTATGAGAAGACAAAGCGAAAAAGTTTCACTTCTTCTCCTTTGCCAAATTGATTGCATCTGCTGTGTAGTCGATCCCAACGAATTGTGAATTGGGAAATTCTTCTGCTTGAATGGAATTGTTTTTTCATTGAGGACAAAATAGTTAGTGAATACAAACCTAAAAGCGAAGAGTGAAGTCCACTGCCACATCCAACATCGAGACATTCTATGCCTTCTTCGAGTTTCTTCTGAACAAAATGCATGCGAAGTTTTTGGAAATTTTAGATCCTTTATGAAAAGATAATGAATATGCGAAAAGGGAGGAGAGTAATCGAGGACGAACAGTTTATAGTGAATTCGTTCCATATTTTCTCGCTTTTCGATAAAGTTTACTTTAGTCACAATCTGCAAACCACTTCTGACCAAATTCAATGAAAGTTTTGTAGACTATGAATGTGTTATTTCAACTTTTACTTGATTGTGAAATTGAGGTGTAGCAAAATAGGAGTGCACAAGGGTTACCTGGGACATTTTATTAGAGGTGATTTCGAGATCAGATCAAAATAAATGTACCGAATTTTATAAGCTTTTGTCTAAACGAACTACTTTTTGATGATAAACCCAGGCTACATATCTCAAATATACATTATAATTAACGTAAACCTGAATCTCTGGTTGTTATAAATAGTGTTCTAACAATGACAAGATCTTAATAATTCTCATATGTATATGAAATGGAGCATACCTTAATGTCAGACCCTAAAGCAGGCACGAAGTCTGGAATTACATGCTTCTTATGCATTGCTCCACTGCACCTGTCTATCTGCTTGTAGATTTCAGCTGTATAATCCGAATAATCGAGCCCTACAAGAAAGAAAATATACAATATAGCCCCTACTCTTGAAAACTGACCGTTGGGTCCATCCTTCTTCACTGCCTCACAAAGTTTGTCGTACGGCTTTAGAGACATTGGCAAGAAGAAATTCATCATTATAGCGGTGCCCGTGAGATCCTGAAGTGTAGATATTTCATAACGCATTATTATTTACTTTTCTCCTCGAACTTTTTGTTAGTAAACGAGCAGGTATTTAACAATTCTACCTCGATGTGCTCCTTTCTGATGTAGAACTTTTCATCTTCCGTGACAGCAATGATATCCGCAGTGCCCATCACTGCCAGCCACTCTTTCACATATCTGAAACCATGGTAATTTGGTCAAAAATTTATTTTTGTTCATCTTTGTAGACCTTTCCTTGCAACCGCTTTCCTCTGCAACTTGTGCAGCGCTTGCTGGTTTCTCTTCACTTCCTACTTTGGCAAGTGCATGGAACAGCTGCAGTTGGTCACCGAGAGCAATACAAGCCGATATCATGCCATGTATGCCGATTTGCTAAACATGTGAGTAAATCTACTCGACCTACAAACATTTCCCTAGTTGATCATGAGAGACTTTTGCTACAGCTATTTTTTAGCAGAGGAAGGGGTATAGCTGATTACGATTCGTAGGGAGAAATTCCAAAAAATATAGGCTACAGCTATACTAGGTGCAAAAGAAGGATAAATACACTACTTCAAGAAGTGTTGCAGTTACCCTCTTATTGAAAAACTACTTTAACTAAATAGGAGGCATTCATTCTAAGTTTACCTTAGCTAGTGATACCACCCTAGCATGGCTAACGCCTTACCACTTCATTCGCAAGCAATTTCTGTTGATCCTCTCCCCTCGAAAGAGTTTCTCTCATTGTCATACTTCAGAAGCTTCACATAAAAGATGCGCAATGTCGCGTTAGAGGGCTGATGATCCTGGACAGGCTCCTGCATGAGTCCGTATCTAGGCTTTTTAGTAACAAAATCTTCCTTGACATTCGCAAAATTTACGCAGTGCCCTTCTACCCTAAACCATATCTGTAAAAAAAACTCTTAAAAAACGAAACGTTAACTCTAAAAAAACGAAACTTAACGTTGAAATAACGTTGCAATTTTCTGCATCTTTTTGACCACAAAAACGAGATCCCCTTTGCTTTTCCGCCCCAAAAAACGAAGTCCAGCTCGTTTCCATGCGATCTGTGCCGGACTCTGATCCTGGATTCAGAATCGGTCCACTCTCTATCGAATTATGGCCGAACTCCGGCAAAAATTGCTTTTTTTGCATAAAACCAAGGTAGTGTTATAGTAAGGCATAAAAAATAACACCATACGTCGTCATTCTCTCTCTAAGAGTAAGATTACAAAAGTAGGGGCAAGATAACCACATTGTGTGGTGAGTAGCCTTATCGATTATCAGTGTGATTTGTTCGCATTGCTTTTGTAAACATTGCTTGCAAGCGTATTTATCACTGCAAAGCAGCATTCGATAAACTAAGTGTTGGTCAATGATATGTAAACAAAATGCCACTGCAAATAAAGGGCATCGTATAGAATTTAATAAAATACTCACCAGTAGCTTCTTTTGGAAGTCGGTCTTTTCAGCCATCTTTGTCTTAACGATTAGTTGAAAATGAGAATGTAGACAGATATAATAAGTCAGTTGCAGACGACGAAGTTTTTGAAAAGATATGAGGTACTCGTCTACGAAAAATTTCTTTGACTCTATCGAATACGAAATAACAGAGATTGGCAGCGTGAGAAAAAAAGGATTGCAAGGTCTCTCACAGGTGCAGACAGACAGATAGACGATTGCACAACAAAAAGAGAAATATCGTTCTTTGGACACGAAATGAACGGCGGTTGGCACTCGCTCTCACCGCCGTAACATTTCCTTACCAAAGATAAGCAGCGTTTTCGTAACTCTTCAATGAATAGCAGCTAATCCTGAATTTTTATGACTTATTTCAAATCACGGACATGGAGTGGTATTCAGTGAAATAATATTAGAGCAATTGTCACTTTTGCACCCACCTTAATTTTTACTATTTATCGTATAAATAGTGTAGTTATGTGGTTACTTATTTTTACTACTTCTACAATTTTTACTATTATCTTCAAATCTCTTTGTACAAATAGCGACAAATGTTCACATCGTTTTGTATTGTATTCTCGAAAAATGTTTTCAAGTGCGCTTTGAACAATGCGTCATCAGATAGCTACGGAATCAGTGACAGATCGAAAAATGTCATCAGTTACATAGATGTGTTTCCTATCCTGAAATTTTTTGCTGCAGTTTGATTGCCAGGAACCAACAAAAATGAAATAGAGGATGAAAAAGGGAAATTGACGAAAGGAAATATGTAGAAAAGTCAGAAAAATGATGGAGTAGGGAGTGGAAATGCGCTAGAGTACAAGACTGCTGATTTGGATAAAAGTATGATAAGATCATTAGGCAACGACGAAAATGCTTGTGGGCCGTTGAACCAAACTGCACAAACGGAGTAACGAATGACTCAACTTTCGACAAAGTTTACACTATTTTCTACTGATACAGTTGGCATTTACGACAATAATTCAAAGAAAATACGAAAACGAAGCATTTTTCTTCCGTTTCCAGTCAATAAATGCTGTCTCCGTCGAATTATGCAGTTTGCGAAACTCAGACGTTTATCTGTCACTCTTAGCGCCGCTTGTTAAGGTCACAGATAATGGACAGTGCTTGTTCCCAATCTTAATAGCATGGGATTACTGAATGACACTGCGACAAATCAAAATGACATCCTAAACTCGCTGATTTATTGAGTTGCCGAACAATAGCTAAATGATTCAGAGTGGAATACGTGTACGTTAGGAGGAATGTGTGCGAGTAAACCCGACGGAAGAGGGCAGTGATTATTAACAAACTGTATAGAAAGCTTTCAGAATAGATCAACAGGATGCTATAATTGAAGATGGGAGAGTGCGGTCCTGGAGGAGTTTATGATCTAATATTTGCCCTACATTGTCCTCAACCGATGTATGGGCAGGTAGTAATTTTGCACTTTTTTGGAACCCGTTAAAGTTATTCATCATATTTTTAACGAATCAATACAAATCTATGCTTTTTAAGAATGTAGGTTTCTGCTACCCCTTCTTCAAAACAGCTACAATCAGAAAAAGTCTTAGTTGTTCGCTATTTGTATATCCTGAAAGCTAGTAAATTTGACAAAAGACATTTTCTCTTTGTTGCCATTTTCTCGGAGTTATTGAACTCTCTCCGGAATCTTTTAGGGAAGGTCAATTATTATTCCATCAACCACTTGGCTTGCTTTGCTTATTCTATCACTTTAACAGCATTTTTGACGGCAAAGGTGACGACATGAGCACCATCTCCATATATTACATTTTAGGTTTTCTTCCCTGTCACATATATGACATACTCATTTACGACTACCTTTCGTTATTCACTTAGATTCATTAGACTCTTCCAGGTATACTGATGTAGAGACAGTATATCTCCGAAATGTCGTTTTACTGGTTGGAATACCTCAAGATCTAGCTGGCAAATTGAGGGCATAGGTACCATCTCCATCATCACATTCATTTAATGCTGAACTTGTAGACAATTAGCATTCAAATACAAGCTGTATTATTACATTTACTAATTTAGTCCAAAAGATTAGACCCGAACTACATGATAATCTATTCTTATGGTTAGTTTATGAATAACTGTGCGTTGTTGTTCGTTTGTAAGGAACGCCAAGAGCGCAATGAATAAAACAAAAGTAGAAAAATAAAAACATAGTGTCGACAAGCACGAAAAGAAACAACATGGAATTAATCAGATCTTCCCAGTTGTGGTGGAATTGCGGAAGCAGCAGCGGCAATGAGTCATCAGGATATGTGCGAATTCTACTATATCGTGACTATCACGGGTGTGGGAGGCACAACAAGGGAGAAGAAAGTGCACTGTGCATTAACGGAGGTCTAAATTCGCCTCGTTTTCAGAGACTGGTTGTTTGAGTATTTTCCGCCAAATTATTCAAGTTAAGATCTCAAGTGCACCAAAGAACATGTTATATTATTGGAGCAATTTTGAGTTGTACTGCCCTTTGTGTTCCTCGCCCAATCCACACTACCCATATGTAAACAAGCAAAGCAGCAAAGTCCATTCACGAAATTTGCGAGATTGACGCGACTTGCAGATTGTACGAAATCCCTTTTCAAAGCAACTATTGCTTGAACTGTCAGCAGATTCAAAATGAGCTTTGCATTTCCGCAATTTTTGAAAGGTGGCTGTGCTGGAAGGTAAAGTAGGTCATGCAACTCTAAATTGACTGCCATTTTTACTAAAGGTCTCAGTTCAAGGTCCCTAGTCCCCGTTGTTTTCATTACTCAGACAATTCACCGAAACTTCCGCAGAACAGGCGAAATTTGCAGCGGTTCCGCAAGGTTTATGTGTTGTCTCCTATGATGTTGCCTCGCCAACAGTTAGAGTGCTTTACCGAACAAGCCATTAGTAGTGCTGAGAGTAGTAGGAGAGTCTCGCAGTCAAAGGGTAAGGTTCAAATCTCGCTTAGGTGTTCTCTGTTGCAGTTGTGCTTCGCATTGCTCGGGACTTCCGCAGCACCTCATTTGGAACTTCCGCAGCACGTCTACGGAACTTCCGCAGGTGACCCGGCGGAACTTTTCCAAATATTCTGCGGAATTTCCGGTCGGTTGTCTGAGTGGGAACGAAGTTAGGCCCTTAAAAAGTATCTCACAAAACAGGTAGGTTACACGGCAGTAAATAAAATGACTTCACATCAAGCTGAGTTTGAATCTATCCCAGATCTCAATATGCATGTTCCCAAATAGTCATAAACAAATCCGGCGAATCTCGTAAGATAGCAAATCTCGGAAATCTCAGCAATCCCGCACATTGTAGAAATCCCCAGCAAATGCATACATTTCATTGTCATAACGTAGTTACTTGCAAGGAAAAGGTTGCAGGCGTATGTAGCAGTTTCATAGGTGATTGAATTCTGAACAACTGATCTGCTATCAATGATTCCCAAGGTTTTTTATTGATTTGCGATACTTCCAGGAATACACTCAGCACTTCTTGCACACGTACAAGACTTGATGTTTGAAGAATGGGGCGGGAACGATACTGACATCAGCAAATCCAACTTCGTTCAACATTTTCATTGCTCGCTCTCTGCCCCACATCGCGCCGAGGCCAAGTGCATCTGAAAACGAGATACATGCTTCGAAAGCAGTTTTTGAAAGGTTTCTCATGATTTTATTGGCAAAATCTTCGTCCCGAAATGAAGTATCAGTAACAACCTTCTGAGTTGCTTCCTATTGGTAGGCAATTGAATAGCGAGTCAGCATAACCCGATGCAGCAGACAGTCCCATCCGTTCCTTATCCTTGTAGATGTTGGAAGTTCCATCAACCTTAACGACAAGCTGCGTTCACAAAAAATGAGTGTAGAAGAGGGCTTACCTCCAACATTGCAAACATTCCTTCAGACTTGAGTATGCGATAAATCTCACGCAAACACTAAAAGCAGCAAAAAAGCTTGCAAAACTACTTTGTTTTTTTTCGTAATCGTAAAAACTTTATTAGCTTACAGATCTACATACTACTGTGGTGTACTACTGCTGTGAAGTGTAGCTCTGAGGAAAGCAGTGTTTGTCTATAAATTGCTCTGTAGCTACATATCTCATTTGTAGAATCAATAGAACCATCGAATTCTTCCCTTAACTTATGGCAGATTTCATCCTCAGCTTTAGGAGCAGCATAATCATTAGTCATTGTTTTTAAAATCTTATTCAAAAACTCGCTGCTTGCTCTCATAATTTTGAACGACTTGATCAGACAAGAACTATTTGAGTAGACTTGATCGGCATGAAGATCAGGCATCAGATGAGTCATTTTAAACCTATTCGTATGTTTGGATATGGCGGCTTACCAAATCTGGTCGCATTTGATCATGACAGGCATCGAAGATTGTGACCAAATCGAACTTGCAAGTCCATTCGGCATCCATTTTGGAAGCATCCATTTGAATGAACGACAGATTGTTGAATGGCTCACCATCTTCTCTTCTGGATCAAATCATCCAAGCAAAAATAATAGTAGCCTGGCAAAATTCACCTTTTCTGGTTAGCCAAATCGATCGCATCCTGAGAAATGTCGATCCCGGTGAAGTTCGAGTTTGGAAAGTTCTCGGCTAAATTCTTTGCTGCTTGAATATAACTGAGCAAAGTCATTGAATGCGTAAGACGAAATCGCTCGATTTAGACAAAGCCTAGTAAACTAATTTCTTTTCTCTTCGGAACTTGTTACAATCCTTTTTGAGAAGAAGGTGGCTTTGAGATTTGTATTTGAGCTGCAGTAGTTAACAGTTACAGAAGATGCACTGTAGACAGGGCTCGGCACGAGCTGGAACCAGGAAAATTTTAAAACTGAGCTCCCTTTGATTTTGAAAATTTTGTACGAATTTTCTTTTAACCCTAAACATAAAAAACTCCTCAGAAAACAAGAAGTCGACTGAAAGACGTTTCCTTTCCTGAGGGGTTGCAATTTTCGGCCACAAAAACGATCCCCCTTTGCTTTTTGCCCCAAAAACAATATATAGCTTGTCCTGGGCCAGCTGTGCCGAACCCTGGCTGGGTTGCGTTGAGATTGTCATTTGTCGTCTAGTGATCACAATTATCTTAATTACCGAAAATCAAGATTTATTAAATAAAAATAAAGAACAGCAAGCATTTGTCATAGAATTTTAGGGGCAGTAAAAAGAGAGGGAATCTTCAGGCTATTCGGGAAATTAAACCCCAATGGTTTCAAATATATTATCCACAAATAACCAACCTAGAAGAGCAGCATGGAATCCTTTGCCACATCCAACATCCAAACACACCATCCCTCCTGCGTCAAGTCGTTCCTGCAATGAAGAATGTCTCGAATCAAAAATTTCGAAACTGCTTGTTTTTGAAGATCCCAAAATTTGATTAGATGTCTGTAGAACAACAGCTGCGTTCGCTTGAATCTTCCTCATTGTCCTTGTTGCATCCGAAGCAATTCTTGACTAATTACATACCTTCACGTTTGATCCGAGAGCTGGAAGATAGTCGGGTATAAGATGTTTCTTATGAGCCGCTTCACTGTATTTGGCCATGATTTCATAGAACTCCGAGGAGAAATCAGAATAGTCAAGACCTAGGCTGACCTCTTCCGTTTTTCAATCATCATCACACCTATTCATCTTTACCGTAAGGCCCATCCTTCTTGAAAACCTCGGCAAGTTTGTCATATGGTCTCAGAGCATTTGGCAGGAACGAGTGGGACACAACGGCGACGCTGGCAGTCAGATCCTGGTAGGAACTAAATGAGAGTAGCAATCGAATCCCATTTGTACAGCATTCAGCATTTCTTCGCATTCTTTACTGTCATGAAAGCTACAGTGAAACCCACTGAGATGAGCTGGAAAGAACGATTTTACCGTAACATGCTCCTCTTTGATGTAAAACTTCTCGTCTTCCGTAACTGTTATTATATCTGCGGTTCCCATTACCGCCAACCACTCTCTTACGTACCTAAATCGACGATCACAGCGAAATTGCGGAATCAGAATCATTCCACTCTGGCTTTTTCGAATGTCAACTAACCTTTCCTTGCAACCGCATTCTTCTGCGACTTGAGCAGCAGACGCAGGTTCCTGCTCGTTCCCTACCTTAGCTAGGGCATCGAAAAGATGCAGACGATTTCCAAGAGCGATACTTGCGGAGATCTTTCCATAGGCTTCGATTTGCTAGAGTATACGTATTTTCTTCTAGCACTCTCAGTTAATTTCAGCACCAATTACATGTTTCTACAAAATTGCAGTGAGATGGGGTTTTCTGTACATTGTTCAAGGACGCTTGAAGGCTTCTGCCAGTGGGATTAGTGTATATCCTAGTCTTTCAAAATTCCCTTCAAAAGGTTCTAATGAAATTAGAGAGAGCACAAGTTTCCTTTTGAGTGAGATTGAATGGCTGACAGACATTTTCAATTTTTTGGTTAGTTTACGGAGCGGAAAATGATTCAGACTAGCGCAAAATCTAAGAGAACATCTTGCCAGTTCCTACCGCAACTCTACAGTGAGATGAGCGAATACATATTCCTCTTACAATGTCCTAGCTTTCATTTAAAGGTTATTGCTTTGACTCGAAAATTCGTTCGCATCATTCCCAAAAATTCGTTCCTAGTTTCTCAAAGTATTTGCACAGTTTCAGTTTTACTTGGTGAGAAAATCATGCACTCTATACCAGAATCTGAAAAGTCTTCTATAACGCATGAATTCAATTCTTCTTTAAAATCAAATCAAAATACTTTTGATAGCACAGAGATAGCAGCTGTGAAAGAAAATTTCGCAAACTTCTTTCTTTTGAGTAGAATCGCCAAAAATCGGAAACTTGCACAAAAAGTGAAGCACTATAACTTTTTAGCGTGCTTTTTTTTACTAAGCAAAGCTAGTGTGGATTGAGCTTCTTTATGAAAAGTTATGATCTTCGAGCGAGCAGCACCAAATCGCAAATTTGATTTTTGCCATTTTTCTCGAAAATCAAATCAAAATATTTCTAATAGACAAACTTTGCTCAAATAGCGAAAGCGAGTCGTAAATGGTCATAATAGAAACTGCTCCATTTTTGTGCAATTCTTAGGTTTTTGGAGAGTCTACACGGAAAAATCAAATTTTTAGTCATACTGCTGCTGCTTCATACCAATCTATGCGTAATAGAAGGCAACTCAGGAACCGCTGTAAAGAGCGCGATCTTCTCTTTCAAAAGAAACAAACTTGTGTACATCCTTTGATAACCTAAAAGATCACGTATTTTGATAAGTGAACAAACTTTCGGCCTACCTATTTCGAGTGCAATTTGTCCAACTTCAGCAATATTCAACTTACATTCAGCTTCTTCTGGAAGTCAGTTTTCTCATCGTCAGCCATTATGCTGGAATTTGTACTGCGAAGAAGTATGGGCTATATCTAAATTTTGCACATGTTAAATTATATTTTGTTAAGAAACGCGATAATCTCCGCTGGTGTTAAGAGTTGAGATTCGTATCGGAATGTAGTGCAGTGAAAAAGAGTGGCAGAACGAACACCATCTACTCTTCACCGTAAAGGCAAAGTCTTTGCTCATTTTTGCTTTTATATAGCACTTTCGCACAGTCATTTTGCCATCACGTACAGCTAGAGTTTGTGAGAAATGGGCATTTACCTTCACAAATGGCATCTCAAAAGGGCCCATTTTCATACTTTCGGGTACAACCAGTAAAGGAAAGTTAGGCGTTTTGAAAAGTTGTCACTTTTTTCACGGGCAACAACGGCTCCACTTACGGAATTTTCTCAGGGAGCCGGTATCATGCGACTGTGCATACAGCGAGTTAAGAAAGTCAAGATTATCATTAGTGTTTGTTGTATGTTAGATATTTAGTTTTTCCTGCTGTGCAGAAAAGAAAACAATTTGTAATGACAACTGCAAGTACAAAACAAAACGTACTTGACTTTCCATACCCTGTTTCTTTGATCCCAAGACTTGCATCCACCATCGTTTAGTTTTCTTTTCTTGTCATTTTCGACTTCACGGAACGGTTCGGTAGTTAACTACATGTACTCAGACTGAACTTCTCCGAGAAAAATCTGATTTTTTCGTGGTAATCCATGGTTACATTACTGCCTCCATCACAACAAGGATTCATTCTGTTGTATTCACAGTGCGTTTTTTCTTGCTGCGTGAACATCTTTGCTGCAATTTTGCAAATTTATGAAAAAAAAAACCAAACCCGCATCAGCCGGTTTTAGACAAGTACTGTGACGTTTAGTCTAGACATCGTCAAATATTGGAAGTGTTCGCTATAAATAGTTTCGTAATTATTACTACCCTTATGATTGAGAAAATCTCTTTAGATAGAGAAACAGCTTTTCACAAATTATAGGAGGTACTGTACCACTTTCGACTGACGGGCTGTCCATGCAAAATGATATAAAAGATAGAAGAATTGGTGCTATTTTTTTGAACTATCTTGTAAATCTTGCTTTGCCCTATCGCATGGTACACAGGAACCTATCTGGAAATCGGAGAGATGTGACTTATTTGTTTTCTGCTGTTTTGATCCGAGACTTATGTTCCAGCCTAATAACTTGAGTGCAAGAGGTGTACCCAAAACATCATGAACTTTTTCCGGTTTTCAAATTTTTCGAAGAAATTCTATAGCAAACTAGAAAAAAATCCTAATTTCGAGATAAGTCACATTATGGAGAAATATAATGAGACATACTCAAAGGTATAGCCGCAACTCTAGATTTACAGTCCTAATGCGGGAACTAACTTATTGGACGATCTTAGCTAAACTAGTTCTCAAGCGGCAGCACATACAACTCAACTGTGGCAGAGCATTTTGGAAAAAATTGCATATACCGTGCTTCTACTAAACTCAAGGACCTTCTGCTCAGAAAAATTATGTTCTTGGCCAGAGTTTGAAGGTGAATCTGTCGGCCGAATGGATTTTCGGGCTGTCATTTGGGCGATGGATAATGTCATGAATAACGTCTCTTGATTAAACGACACTCATAAAGTGATTTCCCGGTCAGGAAAGTGCCTTCAGTGAGAGTAGGATCGAACGTGGGTGGATTTGTGACAGTGAAAAAGTGATAAATTATTCATATTTTCTACTCCTGCTATTATCCTTCAAACTCACAGATAAAACTGGTATTGATAGCCCAGTTTCATAAAACAGATAAAGGTAACGTCGATAGCTTGAATCTAACAGAGATAACCAACATGAATCGATCAGTTTCTTTCCAAAATGTTAATAGTCACTCACATGAACAGCTCTCACCGTTTTATTTATTACATACCAAAAGAGACAATAGAATGATTTATTATTAGTCCTTTTTACACACGTATAGAACGTTCGTTTCAAAATAGGGAGTGGGAATTACGCTAACATCGTTGAATCCTGCTTCTTTGAGCATTTTCACAGCACGCTCCTTTCCCCACATTGCGCCAAGGCATAGTGCATCTAGAAATGTAACATATTTACCTCATACGGCTATATAGGAAAGAAAATTTGATAAATGACAAGAACCTTCTGAATTACTGCCAGCTGGCAAACAATGGAATATTGAATCCGCGTACTGTAAAGCTGCATCGTACCCCATCTCTTGCTTATCTTTGTAAATGTTTGATGTTCCATCCACCTTGAAATACTGATTGAGTGGATTACGGTAATGTATGGGAGACTCACTTCTACCATTCCAAACACTCCTCCAGATTTGAGGACACGATATATCTCCTTGAGACACTAAATAAACACAGAATGTTAGAAAATCCCTTGAAATAGTTTCTGTTTCACAGTAGGGAAAACCTAGTTTTGCACAGAGACATCTGCTTTTGCCCGTAGAAGTTGTGCATTTTGAAAATTTCCTATTCCGATATGTAAGATCAAGACGAAGCTCAATCATCGAATTGGTGATAATCACCTAGTGGCTAAAACAAAAACCCAGGCATAACCCTCCAAAGATCTTCCCTTTTTACTATTCTACTACCCTTTCTCGTGCAACAGCCCCGATGTAAAACCCATTTAATGCCAGATTCTCCGCCCAACAAAAGTCATCAGTAAGTATTGTTAGGAGAGTGTCGCAAAAGTCAATCTATTTTGAGTCTAAAAAGAGAACCACACCGACTTATTTTGACAAACAAATTTTGTGATTTTACCCGCCGTTCAAAAATATTCGGAGCAAAGAAATAACCACAACCGAAAAGCTATCAGATTTGGAGAAGTCTGGGACAAATACCACTGCAAGGCGATTTACAGCAGAGAAATTCCATGTTTACCTTAACACGTCTGTGTTATTTTTCGATTCAAAGGTTAGTTAACGGTCCCGTCAGCTTTCAGCATTGCAACAGCTCATTCCAGACGTGATTTACATCCTACATAGAGCATGAAAAGTCTCCCTTAGGTTAGCGAACAACTAAAAAACAAGAATTTCAATGTTTTCTGTTGATATGAAATGATAATCGCTAAATCCAAAAATTCCGCGCGCATACACATTGTTTAAAGCATTTTGTCTCACAGCTGTAAAGCTACGGATGCCTACATCTAGCTATTTAGCATTTTCGTACCAGATCCGGCCTCTTTTGATCGTGACAAGCGTCAAAAATGATGACCAAATCGAATTTGTCTGTCCAGTCGGCACTCAATTTTCCACCGTCCATTTGCAAAAACGCCAAATTATCGAATGTTTCACCATTATCTTTCCTGCAAAGATCGAAAACATGTGTAGACAGCAGCGAAGATATGGAAGGAGTACTTACCTCTTCTGGTTTGCCATATGAACAGCGTCTAGTGTGCAATCTATCCCGGTAAAGTTTGATTTCGGGAAGTTTTCAGCTGTAAAAGTATTTGAAATGTAAATTTTTGACTTCATCCGATTTCTTCTGAGCTAACCTAGAAGGGCCGAATGGAATCCCTTGCCACAACCAACATCCAAGCACATCATTCCACCTTCCTCCAATCGTTCCTTAACAACTATATGCAAAGTTTAGTAAATATGCGGCTGTGTCGAGAAAGGGTAAGATAAGTAATTTGAAGGAAAAATTACAAAGCAACAGATTACACAAGGAAGTAAATAATCAACTACATGTTTGAATGGCTTGCCTTAATGTCAGATCCAAGTGCTGGCAAAAAGTCGCTGATGAGATGTTTTCTATGCATTGCTTCACTGAGATTCGCCATAACTTCGTAAAATTCTGGGGTAAAGTCTGAGTAGTCAAGACCTGGATATAAAATGCAAATGTCTGCGAAATTCACGGCTGGAGAGGTTACCATATGGTCCGTCTTTCTTAAAAACTTTACATAGTTTATCGTACGGTCTCAGTGAGTTTGGAAGCAGAGAATGCAGATGAACGTCCGTACTAGTTGTGAGATCCTAAAAAGTACACTTTTCCGTCAACTTCGAAAAATTGTTTTTTTTTCTCGTAGCCGTGCAGGGTTGTCAAATTGTCCAAGTGATTTGTTTTTACTTGTATTTTTGAACACTTTAAATCCAAATTCGTGCTTTGTAAAAAAAACATTGTCGGGGCTATGGCTGCTGTCCCCCCCCCCCCTCTTCCCTACACTCACCAAGTTTCAAGGGTACTACCTTTTAGAGGGCTTGGCTAAAGTCACGCTTTTCAAAAGTTTTGTTGCCTGCCCTTCCTCCCCCCCCCCTTTTCAGAAAGAAAATTTCCAGACCGCTAGCGTTCAAAGTCAAAAGTATGAGATCGCTTCAACTTGACTATGATTTGTTTTTCAAAAAATATTTTTTTGCTTTTCTCAATGTTCTTTCCTAAGAATATAGTTTACAAACAAATGAAATATGAACTAGAATAGATAAGATAAATAATAATAACATGAAAAATCAAAATATAGTATCTATTTATGACTAAGGATCAGCAACATTACCTCAATGTTTTCCTTCCTTATGAAAAACTTCTCGTCTTCCGTGACTGTTATGATATCAGCAGTTCCCATCACTGCAAGCCATTCCCTAACATATCTGAAATTTGTTCATTTTCTATCTTTTCACATCTTGGCTCAACCAGCAAGTGGACCAACCTTTCCTTACAATCACTCTCTTCCGCAACTTTTTCAGCCGTCGCAGGCTCATCTTCACTTCCTACTTTTGCCAGAGCTTCAAACAAATGAAGACGAATGCCGAGCGCTATGCTTGCAGATATCATCCCATCGATACCAATTTGCTAAATATTTGAAACTTCTCATGTAGTGCAGGTTTGAATGAAGTAAATCATTTATAATTATTCTGTCACGGAGGTTAATGAGTACCAACCGTGAAGTGCTTTTTTACCCGCATTCGCATGCTTTTTGAAAGTCTATATAACACATGTAGGTAACTTTCGCAAACTTCGTGAACTAATGTCGCCGATTCTCCCCCCCCCCCACCCTTCGCCACTGATAGACACAAATATGTGTTAAACAACTGTTTGTCTTCTCTTTATAAAGTAAAAAATAAGAAAATCAGTCCTCCTGCACCCGCGCCAAATTTTCCTTTTACACTATCTGAAGATGCTATAAGCCCTTAAAAGTACACCATCAATCTACACAAATGCAAAGCTTTAGTTTAAGCGATATCCTTTTCCCTAAAATAATTTAAGAGACATTTTCTTCTAACAGCCTAGTTTTTTAAGTGTAAAGAATGTCGCTGTTATTTTTTCCTATAAATCTCGAATTTGGTACAAAAAAATTTGGTCTTATTTTAACGTGTACTATGATGCTCAAACCCACATTTCAAACCGGTGTTCAATGAAAGACATAATCTTAGTGTTTGCTTATTTAACAAGGTTAATATCAACATCCTGCATTACTTCCCGACTTGTTTGCAAAGGACTTCTCAAAAAAGGCAATCGTTGTTCGCATCATTGGTGAAAACTCTTACGCCGCAAGTACGCTAGTAAAGTCATCGTCCCCATTTTATAGGAAGCCGTCAAAATCAAAATGAATTGCTACCATGACAGAATTGAGTTACTCACCAAGATCTTCTTTTGGAAATCAGTTTTCTCAGCCATTGTCCTGAATAGAGAAAGGTAGATAGTAACAGGCGAGCTGTACGAGATGGCTTGCAAAGGTTCTTTCCGTTTTGAGCTATCCGCAAATGCCTTTTCGAGGCAAGCAAACACGCGAACAGTACGCGAAGCAGAATTTTTCTCTCACAAATTATGCATTCAAGTTGATTCAGATGACTGCGGAAAAACTGATGGAGTTTCACCCATCGATTTCACTTTGTCTGAATTAGGTTTGTAGATTGTTAATTGAGACATACAAACTGAAAGCATTGTTTTCGGTTTGCTTTTGGAAAATTTCGAGAAAAGTTCTTCAAAAGTCCTTGGTTTTGGAAAATTTCCTTCAGCACAATCGCAACGGATGCCAAGAAATTTTTAGAATTTTGAAGAGCTCACTCAATTACTACTAAAACTGACGTTGGAAAATAAACAAGCGGTTTCACTTTGAAATAAAGATTTCGAAATCTATGAACAGAGATACTTCGATTGCATGCAGATTTCGCATAGACCAAAGAAAGATCAAATTTTACATCAAATAGTACCAAGTTGTTTAACAGTTGATATTTACGAGGTCCGAATAAATCAAAACTCTAGATTAATCAATTAAAAATTAACATGTTAGATTTCAAAATGTCAGCTGAAGGGATGCTAAGCTCGCATCAAATTATGTCTTCATTCCTTTGTAAGCTCGAGGAGCTCAAAGTGAACAAATCAAAGATGTTGATAATGCAGTGAAATATAAATAGAAAAGTTAAACGAAGTCAAACAGCTTGTCAGTTCAGCTGGAGTCCAATCTCAGTCAAACTGGTGCAGAACCATAGGTGAAACTTGCATGGAAGTTTGCAAAAGATTCATTCTATCAGCCAGTCATCAAGCTTTTCCAAAGTTTCCAATAAGGAAAAACTAGCGAATGTTAGACAAGGTAAAAAGGAAAGGTGGCAAACTCTGGCGAATATCTCAGCATTCATCGAAAGAGACACTTCCGAAACATGGCTGTCGGAAAGAAGAAGTTCTCCATAGAATGCATACTGTTTAGTATGTTTTCTGTCTCAGTATTAGAAATTTGCGGTCTGGTCCAAAAAACGAAAGAATTTTACGTCAACCGGGTATATAAACACTCAAAACTGATAGTGTACCAACGAACAATGCAAAGGAATCGAGGCCATTCTGTTGACCCTGTTATCTTCCAGTGTAGGCGACGTGCAAGAATGATCTCGGTTCTCAAAACAAAGTGCAATGATACATTAGCCGTTATCAGTCTATCTATGACAGGTTTACATCTTTCTGTCTACAAACCAGACAAATAGTTTTTGTTAAACTTTTCCTTCGTATGGTAATTTGTTGCCGATACGCTGGTCCGTAATAAATTCTTAGAATTGACTTTTTTGCAAAAATTTTTATTATAATCTTTTGCAAGGAAAGAAGATACCAGGAGCTAGCTAACTAACTCCTATGCTCCTAACCAAAAGTATACTGATCATATAAAAAATAGGTAATTGTCCTTCTTTTTGGAAAAGATCAGCAATGGGTAGGATTATTGTTTTGACTTTTTCTATTGATATGTCAACATTTAGCGCAAATCATCGCAAAGAAAGCTTTTTCGCAAAAAATTAGCAAAACTACCGAGGTGAACTATTTGAAATGAATTCATAGCACAATTATAGTTTGGCCCAAAAGTTTTCGCATCATTTTCAGAATTATAGCTTCCTGAAAGATTCACGCAAGCAAATTTCTGAAAAACGAGATCATACTCTCTGCGTAGCGTTCACAGAAATTTCTTACATGCAAACATTATGAGATAGAAACTATAAAAGGAGGTTAGTCAGATTTTGATTTTTCATTTTTTCTGTGTGGAATTGCCAAAATTCTAAATTTTTGGAAAATAGGAGCAGTCAATATCATGAATCTTATGAGTCCCTCTTCCTCTCTGATAGTGACAAAAATTTATGCTGATAAAGCACTTCTATAAAAAAGTTATAAGTCAATAAAAAACAAATATGCCGTTTTATAGTGCTTGTTCGAAGAACATCATTTTTCTTAGAAAAACCCTATCAAATACAACTCATACTCAGCTGGAATGAGCAGGTCAGAAAAGCTATGATAACAACTACTCTGATTCTTAGTGCAAGTTCCAAATTCTTGGCATCCAACGCAGAAAAATCAAAATCTAAGTAATCGATTCTACTGTTCTGCTATTTCGATTCTGCTATCTCAGCAATGTTCGCATTTTAAGGAATTTTTCAGATGTTATTGTGAAGTGCATGATCTCCTCTTTTATATTAGATTCAAAATTGTACAAATCCCTCGAGAAAGTAAGAAGTTACAAATTTCCAACAAAAGTGCAATCGAACATTTGGAACAACCCAATATGAACCCAAGAGCACAAAAAAGCAGGGAGTGCTTTCCCATACAAAGTCGAAGCACGATTTTTTTAACCAAAATCGTTTACCCAGAAATTACTTCGCAACTAATGGCATATTCCCTTTGAAGAGCATATACGAGCCTCACAAAAAAGAAAAACGGGTAGACATAACAACCCAAAGAATATGTTCTATGCTGCAAAAATCTTTGGGAGGAACAGGCAACCAGTTTCGCAACAATTCACGAGGAAAGCCTAGAACCGGCCCAGTCAGAGCGTTCGTGGGTGCTGTACTATTCACGTTCCAAAGTACACAGTGACTTTATGATTGGCATTTTTCGTTGAGGGACGAGAAAAATCAATGCCATAATAAAGGAATTTTTATCATCATTTATTTGCGAGCCTGATTGCAAAACTATATGATTTACATTTGTCAGAGATACGAGATAATGAAGTAATCTGTGCAAAGATAGAAGAGATAGCAGTCATGTAAGTGATTACAATCAATAATGTTGATTACAGTTCCTTACGAAGTTTTCTCCGACAATGGAATGCAGCAGGATCATCAGTCCTTTTTACACACATACAGAACGTTTGTGTCAAAATAAGGCGTGGGAATAACTTTGACGTCGTTGAATCCTGCTTCTTTGAGCATTTTGACAGCTTTCTCCTTGCCCCACATGGTGCCAAGTCCCAGAGCATCTAAACAAGGGCATATGCACCCAATGCTGAGAAAAAATGGTATGGATGAATTTCGAACCTTCAGAATTGCTTGCGGTAGGTAAACAATGAAATACAGAGTACGCATACTGTGCCGCAGCTAAATCGCCCATCTCTTGCTTATCCTTGAGAACATTGGAGGTTCCATCCACCTTCAGTTGATTACATTGTTCGAAGTTCTACACAAAAAAAAAACAATCAACCTACCTCTACCATTCCAAATAACCCTCCTGGTTTCAGCACTCTATGAATCTCCTTGAGACACTAAACGTAGACTTTTAGAGATACTGTATTATAAGCGCTTAGTTACTGCGATTTCAGAAGAATTACAACAAAACTTTTATACGAACATAAAAGAATGAATCAAAAATTAACGTTTCTTAACAGTTTTGAAATCGATATCGGTCCTAAAAATGTTTTTAATTTATGGGAGGTCAAAATGTTCTGCAAGAAAGGGCGTAGCGTTAGTCAGTTTTCCGAAACAACCCTGTAACTCCTCTAATGGTTAGATTTTCAAGAGCTCTGCGAAAATTTTCCTTACAAACCCTTGGCATCAATAAAATTCAGAAATTACTCCGATTACTGAATATGAAATGAGGTACCCTCATGTACAACTTTTGGCTCATAGATGGGAAGATGGGTGTATTTAACACCTCATTTGCCATTGACGAAAAGTGAAGAGAGAGGAAGGAGCGGGGGGGGGGGGGAGGGGGAGGAAGACCTGAAAATTTGCTCTCTGCTGGCATGACCGAATTTATATTCAGAGTCGACCAAGTTTCAAATGCTAATATTTTCTGCCAACTTTGAATTGCTGGACATTTTATTTCTATTTTGCTGGACGTGAATGTCTCTTGAACTAGTTTCCATATGGGGAACTATCTTATGAAAGTCAACTAACAGCTAAAGAGCAACAACACTATCACCTCTGTTAAGAGCTCCACATCGTGCTACCGATCCTAGACAGGAAGTGTAGCCCATGAAGCCTAACGCTTACCAAATCTGGTCTCATCTGGTCGTGGCAAGCATCAAAAATAGTGACCAAATCGAACTTGTCCGACCAATCGTCATCCATTTTCGCGCCGTCCATTTGCACAAATGAGAGATTTTCGTAAGTTTGACCATTGTCTTTCCTGAATAATGATGTTCGCAGGGAAGTATTATGCTGTCAAAGAAACCACCTTTTCTGATTAGCCATATGAACAGCCTCAAGCGTAACATCGATTCCCGTGAAGTTCGATTTCGGGAAGTTATCAGCTAAAACTATTCTTTTGTTTTTGATTTGTAAAAGGAAGAACGATAGGGCGAACCAAGAAAGGCCGCATGGAATCCTCTGCCACATCCCACATCCAAACACATCATATCACCTTTTTCCAACCGCTCCTAAATTCCTGAAGTGGGGTGGGCAACGAGAAAAGCAAATGGACGATTTTGTCTGAGATTAAACATCCCTCTCCAAAAACCACTAACTTCCTACCTCCCCCCCTCCCCTTCCCCTCCCTCTGAAATTTTTCAAACCATTCTCGTGCGAAATCAGGCGTGGTTTTGTGTTTTCCACATTTGGATTTCTGGTGCTCTTCCGTTATCCTGACCCATTTTTTCAAAGAGGGATATTGCTTCTATCCTTGTACCATATCTGGTCCCAGTTTCACTGAAAGGAGTGTCAACCTTCTGCCACGTGTCATGAAACTTTGACATGTCATTTACATGTTTAACAGATTTTGCCAAGAGTTTGTGTTACCCTACCTAGCGACGTAAGTTCAAGTGTTTTTTAGTCAATTTTGACTATTTCAATCAAATAATTTCAAAATGAACATTCAAGACCTTATAATAACGGGCTAAGGGTTGTTTACGTGTTTTTGTGTGTGTGTCTGTGTGTCCGTCTGTTACGAAATTCGTAGAGCGTGTTCCAGCCAGTGTTCTAAGCCCAAATTCTCCATAGCGCATGCTCCCTTCATGAAAGTCCAACATGCAAAAGCACGAAAAGATTCGTTGAGTGGATCCCTCAGAAATTGCGCGCCAAACGGATCCACCTGGCTTCTGTCCCGCAAAATTGGGTCCGTATCACCACTTATTGCAAATTCGTAATTGTGTTTGGTTAGCAAATGTGCAAACGATGGACTTCAGCCCAAAAAGTGGTCAAAAGTTTACTACATAATGAAAACGGCGCCAAAAAGAATTGGTTGCGTAAATGGTCAATTTGCCAAGGTTCTAGCCAAGCATTTCAGAAGATTTTCGCACAGAGATGTAGCTCACGATTACTATTGCCTTTATGGCGACTACCAAGCCATGACAAATTCAAAAACCTATTCAAATTTGCGTTTGTCTTCCTGTGAAAAGTTCCATCCACGCGAAATCACCGATCTCACGTGAAAAAGCTTTCTAAATGAGTAGTTGTTTACATTTTATTCGTGGTAGTCGGCATAGCGCGGTGAGTGTCAGTGCCACAATTCTACGAGAATGAATAAGGCACATAGATAGCAGGGCCAGTGCGAGCCTCTGCGAAGCAGAGGTGACGCACTGGTATCATAATAATAGGGATACATTATTATCTATGAAAAGATTATACTCGCTCAGATTATAGAAGTGCTACAAATCCGTCATTTAAGAGGCGAAATAAGCAGCAGCAAGGTCCTTCAAGCTATAATTCAGTCTTTTGTGAAAAAAAATCTGCATGGCGAAAAGAGTTTGGAGAGGGAGACCTTTTTGAATCACTGCTGGAAGCAATCCAGATGTTCTAAAATAAGCTCAAGATTGTTTTGCTCCTATAGATAAAAGTTAAATAGCTTAAAGGTGATCACAAATCCTCTTTTATCTCACCTGAAATGTTATCAAAAAAAATGTCAGAATGGACCAAACTTTTTTCTGACACGGGACAAGGAGACGGTCCTCGTAGAATTTATGAAATATTGCTTTTAGACTAAAGAGCGTATTTATGAGAGCCTTTTGAAAAAATGGGTCCGGAAAACGGAAAAGTACCGGATTTCTTCGGATTTGTCAGTTCTATCACAATATTCGATATGCTCTCATTATTCTATGGATCTCAAGATTAAGTGCTGCTTTATAGGGTCTAATCTATAGCTGAGAAAATATTTATGAACGAATTAAATAAATTGTTTTTTGTGAACAGAGAAATTGTTTTCACTTAAGAAGACTCTATTTTGATGACGATAAGGCTGTCAGAACCACTAATTTAAGATGTTGATAGAATAGGCTCACCTTGAGATCTGACGAAATTGCTGGAAGAAGATCTGGTATGAGATGTCTGCTATGTAATGCTTCACTGAAGTTAGCAATGATGTCGTAGAATTCCATAGTGAAATCGTCATGTTCCAGTCCTGCAACTCGTCCAATGCAAAAATATAGTTCTTGATTCAGTGTGGATCTTACCATATGGACCATTCTTTTTGTACACTTTGCACAGCTTATCGAAAGGTCTTAAGAATATGGGGAGAAAAGAATGTATCTTTACATTCGAACTCAGCAGTAAGTCCTAGAAAAACTAAATATACAAAAACAACTTCTTTGTTGCTTTCCTCTTCCTCTATGAGAAAAACTCACCTCAACATCTTTTTCTTTGATGAAGTATTTCTCATCTTCAGTGACAGATATGATATCAGCAGTTGCCATCGTTGCAAGCCATTCTCTGACATATCTGAATTGATTCTTACTAAAAGCATTTATGGCTCTTCTCTACTTTATCACTAGCCTTTCCTTGCAACCAGCCACCTCGGCTACTTGGGCAGCAGTCGCGGGTTCTTTCTCGCTTCCCACTTTTGCAAGAGCCGCAAATAGGTTGAGACGGTTGCCGAGGGCAATGGCTGCAGATAGCATTCCATCAATGCCGATTTGCTGAACGTTAGCGTTACAAAGCTCACTACTTCATTTGCTAACGAATTTCAGAGTCTTTGGAGGAAAAGTACCGTAATGGCTTCTACATAGGGGCATAAATTTCACTTCTGCAGTGTTTCTTTTTCTTTCAATATATTAGGTTGTCCCGAAAGTTTTGTCCGTTTTTTTTCATCTTTCACTAAAACTCACATAACATAGATAAATGGACGACTTAGGTACCATTTAATCATATTTTTATCCCCTTTCTTGAAGCTATATGCTCTCTAATCTACCCTGTCTTTGCAATGTTATCCCCATGGCTTTTTGAGCAGCTCAGAAGTGACGCCAAATCCTTCCTGAATTTGAGAAATTTTTATTTTGAACTTTTCGAAGAGCGCTGGTAAATTTTATATAGAACAAGCCTTCGGCTACATTGCACCCATTTTAGATTGAGTGGACCACGTTTATCAAGTCCTAATAATTATTTATTTGAGAAAAACGGCGGCTTTTTGATTACGTTTACCATGTAAGAGTACCGAAAATTCCAAAAAGCTGCTTTTAAAGCAAATCAAGCTTGGTTACGTTGCATAAATAATGTTTAATAAGAATCAGGTTTCACTTTGCAGAAACTTCAAATGCTGTCGTGTATTTACTGCAGTTGAGTGATTCATGACTTTGCCAAAAATCAAGACCTCAGAATAAATAATTTTTTGGAGCCAAAAACAGCAGGTTGGGAGAATCTAATAATAATACTACCTTGTAGTCCGAGAATTGCTCTATCTGATTCATATTCGACCTTTTCCGAAACACTGGAATGGAATTTTCAAAAATTAGCCAAACTTTGAGCAGATAAAATTGACGGGTGGAGAACCCTGGCAATTATCAGGAGAAGCATACAAAGCTGTAGTACGGAAATTTGTCTGTACGAAAGCGAAGGAAAGGCTGCATCGAATGCATGTCGAACATTCATGCGTTTATTGTACGTGGTTTTGTGGTGGTTTGAAAAGACGGACAAAATTTTCGGGACAACCTAATGAAATTCTGCAGCAAGAAAGTTCCAAATAGTCTGAGAATTATCAGAACTCTGACACCTTTTTTCAAAAAAAAATCTTCGTGACCAATGCCTGCAAAACCTTTGAATCCATAATATTCGAGCAACAAACCTATTGATGACCTCTAAATTTACCTAGCTATTTTATTGCTACGGATATAATGCAACTGCTCCGCTGAAACTTTGCAATATTCCGAGTCTTACAAGCTATTATAATTGCTCTGGTATCACTGCTATCTCATAGCTGAGAACTTTTCACTGTTCTTCTGGTAAGATGGCAAAATATTGAGCAAATGCATTTCCAAAAAAAATGAATGGTTTCTGTTTTTTCTGACTATGAGTAAAAATAACAATAAAAGGTATCCCAATATGCAAAGTTATTTCTCCACTTCACTAACCATGTATGAACCAAATTTCGATTTTTAATGTATATATTTCTTCCACTCAAGCAATAGACTGGTCACCACCGTGGCAAAAAATATGCCATGCATCAACAAACAAATAAAATGGCAGACGCGATCCCATTAAACCGTCAGTACGGAGATGAAAAAGTAGTGTGCAAAAAAGACAAGCCGGGCTGGATTCAATGACTGTACGATAAACCCCACATGTCGAAAAAATGCTAAAAAAATAATATGTAGATAAAGGCAGGAGAAAATTTGCTATGTTAGAGAGGGACACCACAAATTTTCCGATACAGTCGGCTGGAGGTACTTGAAAAAAAATGTGAATGTTTAACTCAGTCGAAAAAGAATTTAATGACTAGTCAAGCGTAGAATAACTTCTTTATATCACCTACAACCACTCAGACCGGTAGAAAACACATCAACCATTAAGAACTAAATGTTTTCCTCTATATCGTGTAGAACCTTTATGGGTGCGTCCATGTCGTTATCATTCACTAGCTTTTAGATTCCGCACTTTCCACTTACACTTCTTCGGAAATCTCACGCTGAGCACTCAATTTTATTAACTGTTGAGAAAACTCAGCTTTCATAGATTGTTAAAACCGTGAAAGTCATCAAATATCCGATAAACGCATGCTAAACTAATGACTTTCCATTCACTGTAGCTCTGTTCTCTTTTTACCAAATATATCAACGAAAACCAGTCCAATTATTGTGCAGCATTCACGTAAACACATCGATTGGGAAGTATTGAAGTGTACTAACAAGGGAATGTCAACAATAAGCAGAAACCTACCATCAATTTCTTTTGCAGTTCCGTTTTCTCAGCCATGGCTATTCTCTAGAAAAATGAAGAGTATAAAAGGATCGTACAAGACAAAGAAAGTATGTCCACGGTATAAGGCAAAGTTAACGTTATGAAAAGATTACAAAGCAATTTGCAGGTTTGTGTGTAAATATATCGAAAAGTGAAGGAAAATAAAAGGTATTAAATAAAGATAAGGCATTATGCTGAAAGCTGTATGTGCTATAAAAGAGCGAATTTGCAGCATCGAATGTTATTTCGATAGTTTAGTCTAGACCAAGAGGTGGAGTTTGGCACCTTGTCCATCGATAACATACAATTCACTCTTGGCCACAATCAATTTCCTATTGCCACCTTCATGGTGCAAAAACTGCCGCTGGTTCTCGTACTATTGGTTCTTTGGTCCAGAATTTGTTTCCTTGCAATTCATTTCCAATGACATCTCACGCAGCCGCAGGAGAGTTAGAGGAACGAACATAAAAAAAAACAAGTTGATGTTCGAAAATGTTGGGCACATCATTTCATAAAAGACAAAAATATCAAGTCTCTGAAGTCCTCCATAGTTGGATACCTAGAACTTAAGCTACTGACAGAGGAGTCTGCTTTACTCTTTGATGTAGGTAGTTACCCGTTAGTGGTGAAAAACAACTATAGCTCCAATCGATGCGGATTGGAGGTGGAGTACACTATAGCAAAATCAAAGGGAAAAAGAATGTAGGAAATGTACAACAGCGTCAGTGGATTTTATGTGAACTTCTTTTCCAAGATGACTTATGTGGCTCAATCAAGGACTCGTCACCATGGTTTCATGTTATATGAATCTTATTCTCCAAATTTAGAATACTATTTCTAGACATTCAAGCATGAACTTTTTCTTCACAATTTTTCAGTTTCTGTGGTACAGAAGCAGCTACAAAATGCATAAGTGTTGGTTTATTAGAATCAACATGGCTATTAAGCACAAGACCAGTGATAATTACACAGAGCGGGTTAAGCACAAATTAAGGCTGCTCGTCTAAATCAGTAAATTTGAGGAGGTAGTAACTTAATGAGGTGATAAATGATTTTAGTTGATGCCGTCCTTCTTGCAGACGTAGAGGATGTTGAAGGGAAACTGAGGTGTTGGCACAACATCGACCTGCTTGAAGCCGGCTTCCTTGAGAAGTTTCTGGGCCCGTTCCTTCCCCCACATCGCACCAAGACATAGGGCACCTAGATAAAATCGTAGTGTTCCTATAAACTCAACTGATAGCATGAAGTAAAAACGCACCTTCTGAGTTGCTGCTCACTGGCAAACAGTGAAACATTGAAACCCCGTACAGCTGCCCAGCCATCAAACCCATCTCCTGTTTATCTTTGTATATGTTTGATGAGCCGTTTACCTGATTAGATACAGTTTAGCTACAGAAAAAATCGAAAGGTATTTCTATCTACCACATCAAACCTTGAGATTGAAAGAAGAAATAATATGATATGAAGAAAAAATCAAAGTACGTACCCCTAGCATTCCAAAGACGCCTCCAGGTTTGAGAACACGATAGATTTCTTTGAGGCACTAAAATGACTATATTGTATGCTTTTCTATTGTTGAACAACAGATTTCAAGAAGATTACCAGATCAGGCCTCATTTGGTCATGGCAAGCATCGAAAATCATGACCAGATCAAACTTATCCGTCCAGCTGGCATCCATTTTAGCACCATTCATTTGGATGAATGCTAAGTTGTCGAATGCCTGACCATCAGTTTTCCTGCAACAAGTTACAGCCGAAATTGCTTAAGCTCGTTCCTGATAATCTCACTTTTGCTGATTGGCCATATCTACTGCATCCTGCGTGATATCAATGCCAGTAAAATGAGATTTTGGATAATGAGAGGCTAAAAATATTTTCTTTGCTCTTTCTAAAATAAAGTCAGGGACTTAGTCGTGTGAAAAAACTAACCCATTAAGGCAGAGTGGAAACCTTTGCCGCATCCAACGTCCAAACACTGGACGCCACCCTTTTCTAGGCGCTCCTGAAATCAAGGAAGCTCTCCAGATTTCATTCTGGTCATGCAATACTTCAGCTTTTTCCACAATTTCATTGAGAACCACCATATGCTTGCCTTTTCTAGGTAGATTGTTGAATAAATATTGTGCGGAGATCATGGTAAACAAAAACATAATTTCTCATGGCTTTGTTTTCATCTTTTCTACCACAATAAATAGAATCGTAAACTTTAAGCCCCAAAGAAGGCATTTTAGTCAAAATTTTTGTCATACTATAGCAATAAATGTTGGTCTTGGGGCACAGCTGAAAAGAACGCTAGAACATATCTACAGTGCCATTTATTGGTAGTCCAACACGAATAGTTCAGAAAAAATGCAAAATCTTCGTTTCAGTTTGTGGTGAACTAACCACAAGAAAGTCCATCACCAGTAGCAGTCCGAAAAAAATTCTAAGTGAGGCAGACGACAAAAATTTTTGGGCAAAGCTTTCGCAAGGCTGATTTGTATTTTGTTAAATTTCAAAAATTGTTGCAATCGCTTAAAAGTAATAGTGGTTTACACAATTTTTCAACCTGTGTAGGCCAAAAAAATTTCGCGAGCTTTTCTCGGGGGTTTGGGAGGGTTCCTTAAAGTTGCGAAAGTATTCGGTGGAGAACGCGAGTTTGGATAATCCGCATAATTGCTGCATTTCTTTGCTAGTTACAGGTGAATCTTATATATAAAGCTGAATGTCTGTCTGTCTGTATGTCTGTCTGTCTGTCTGTCTGTACGTATGTGCGGAATAGAAATCTTTATTTCTGAACCGATTTGGACCAAACTTGGCACACATATACTTCGGGGCAGGGAGCGTGTCATAGGCTACTATTCGTTATCGATCGATATCGATTTTATCGATTTTTTGCAAAATTTGAGCTACGGGGCTGGGAGTTGGCACAGGGGGGTAATCGAGCATGCTGATTACGAATATAATAATGACAGGGCCGGGCGAAGCCGGGTTTGCCAGCTAGTAAAGAATATTTCTTACCTTGAGCCCTGAGCCAAGAGCTGGAATAAAACCAGAAATGAGATGCTTCTTATGCAATGCTTCACTGACTGATGCCATAGCATCATAAAAGCCAGTAAAGTCCGAGTAAGCCAAACCTACATAGGCGAAGCTTATAAAACCTGAATATTAATGTTGAGACTTACCCAAAGGTCCATCCTCAGTGAACACTTTTGCGATCTTATCATAGCTTTTCATGCAGAGTGGCAGAAAGGTGTGGTACGGAATGATCTGTGCCCCTCTAGTCAGGTCCTGCAGAACAACAGCTTAACTTTTGACATTTCAGCGCAAAATGCTTGTCTCACCGCCAGATTTTCCTTTTTGATATAGAACTTCTCATCCTCCGTAACCGTGATTATGTCTCCCACTCCCATGACTGCCAACCATTCCTTCACGTATCTAGACATCTCAGTTCTGGGCAAGAATATTCTATTCATGAATTATGCATAGCTTACCTCTCGTACAATACTATACTTACGTTATTCACACTATTGATTGAATAGCAAACCTTTAGCAATAATCTCCTGCTACCTTTCAAGCCATATGCTTGTTAAAAAATGATAATACATGTATGCAAATCTATCTACCTGGCATACACTTCTTTATTTAGCGCTGATGCGAAAGTTGCTGATTTCAGCATGCTTTATTATAAGCTTATCCTTTGTCGGGCAGCATTGAATAAAAGATCCAGGAGTGAATCTAAGGGCACCCGTCCTCCTAGATTTGCGTACATATATGTATTATCATTCTGGACTTCCATGTTTTGATCGTTCCGGGGCATTTTCATGCCCCTGATTCCAAATTTGAAGTCAAGAATCCGCGAAGACCCCAACAATTCCCGTCCCGGAGGACCCGCATGCCGGATTTCCGAAACAGTGATTAGCGGGCGCGCACGGATGGGCGGGCATGGATGGGGAGGGCGGTGCAGTCTAAGGGTGCATTTTCGTTATCTCGGAGCGATTTTCTAGCTTCCGAAAGGACCTTTTGTTCTGCGACTTAGGCATTGGCTTGATAGGGGCCCTGATATCATATGCTGCCAAAAACTCGAGACCTCCAACAAAGGCAGTGTGCGGGCAAAAACTCGATTTTGAGATTTTGTGCTTATACGGGCCTATTCGCCATGCTGAATCCGAAAATCCACATTGGAAAGCGCGAAAACGGCAAAAAAGGGCTTTAGCGCAGGAGGGGAAGAGCAAGTGGGCGGGGTTCTCCCCACTGTGAATTCACGCTCCCAGCTTCCGGAGAGATCTTTTTGATTCCGCAAGCCGTCCTAACATCGGCTACCGCCAAGTGCGAATGACTGACTTGAAATCAGACGCGAGAAGATCGCTCCGGAAGCTGGAAGCGTGGATACACAGTGGGGAGAACCCCGCCCACCTGCTGATTTCTCTCCTGTGTTAGAGCCGTTTTTCGCAGTTTTCGCGCTCTCCAATGTGCATTTTCGGATTCAGCGTAGCGAATAGGCCCGAGTAAGCACAAAATCTCAAGATCGAGTTTTTGCCCGGACACTGTTTAACGTGGACGGTGCCTTAGGGGTGCATGAATAGAATCAAAGTCGGAAAATGGTCGAGACTTGGGTAAAGGATCAAGGTCGAGAATTTGGTATGAAGACCTTGTGTTAGAGAGAAACAAATGGAAACATTTGGCACGAGCGATACAGTATAAACGGGACAAAGAAGAATGTACCAGTTATCTCCTCTCGTGTTTAGAGCTGACAATACACTATGTTATCAACAAATATCTTTGTACCAAAACATTTTCGCAAGTACTCATTCCATACAAAGAGCGAAAAATGCAATTTTGGGATTTTGTTAAAACTTTGCTTAAAATATGACTGTGCACTGTACGTTGTATCGCCTTTTATAAATATGCTAGTTTTCATCACGTGGGCAAAAAATCCATATTTAAACCATAATTTCGCGAGTACAAGACGCACCTTTTTCTTTTTTTTTGAAACAAGCAGCACAGCTGCGCCACTGTGGCTCGCGAGATTCTAGCTCTCCCACATGACTCTTTTAGGTGAAAGCAGCACGGTAGAGAGTCCTTTGATCTTGAGATTTTTCGATCAATTCAGGCTAATCGATTCTAAAAGATATAGCGTTTCGTGCTCGTGAAAATAGGATAAAATAGGCACAAATGTTCTGAACGCCTAGTTGTACTATTCGAAATGCTTCTTCATCTATGAAGACGTTTTCACATCACTCAATCTCGCCAGATCCAGATGTAGCAAAAGCGTTAAATGCACCGTCTACCCAAAGTAAAGGTAAACGGTGCCTCTAAAGGCACCGTTCACCCAGATTCTCGACTTTCATGTTTTAATCGTTCCGGGGTACTTTCATGTCCCTGATTCCAAATTTAAAGTCAAGAATCCGCGAAGACCCCAACAATTCCCGTTCCGGAGGACCCGCATGGGTGGAGGACTATATGTCGCCGAATTTGGAAGAGTCCCGGGCGGATTCCCTGCAGGAACGCATGTTCGCGCATGTACAAGGGTGCGTATTTGTCGCAAATGACTGCGGGGACCGCCCTTTTTCGGCGACATATAGTCCTCTACCCGGCCCGCATGCCGGCTTTTCGGAACGGTGATTAGCGGACGCGCACGGATGGGCGGGCATGGATGGGGAGAGCGGTGCAGTCTGGGGTCCTCGTGCATCTTCGTTATTCCGGAGCAATTTTTTCGCTTCCGAAGCGACATTTTGAGCCGCGACTTGGGCATTGGCTCGATAGGTCCTACTATGATATGCTGCCAAAAGCTCGCTGCCAAAAGCTCAAGACCCTCAAGTTAGGGTGAACGGTGCCTTTAAGTTGCGGATCTACTTTCAAGGTGGACGGTGCCTTTAAGTTGCGGATCTGCTTTCTATTCATCAAAGTGAAGCCTACGATTCGCGATTTCGTTGTACCCACAAAATTCGTTGATAATTTCCTTTACTTTGGCAAAGTATGTAGTAAGTTGCGTTATGTGAGGTGTTTAAAATCCTTGAAGCTTCATTCCTCAATAGTTCTCGCGCCTATTGCTTTCCACAATTTTTTCGCACTTACCGGCGGTACCTACTTGTCAAACCAATATGTGAATTTGTTAGTAATGATCATAAGCTAACCTTTCTTTGCATCTGCTTTCTTGAGCAACTTGAGCGGCAGTAGCCGGCTTTTCTTCGCTGCTGATCTTGGCCAGAGCGTCAAACAAACCAAGTTGATGACCGAGCGCTATGCTTGCTGACAACAGACCATCAACTCCAACTTGCTAGAGTAAAAATTGATTTTATTCGTATGCAATGCTTGTATTCACAAATATGCATTGTTGAGATGATACTTTATAAAAGCTTCCTCTTTGTTCTTCTTCTCAAGATCATAGGTCATATATGCTTGAATCCTTTAGGATTGATTTAGTAGGTATGGATTAAAGAAACCTCGCATCTATGTCGAGCTAAGCTGCGCTAACTTCTTCGACAGCTTTGTAAGTTTACTTCCCTAATTCTTCACTAATGTTTTTAAGGCTATCACATTGTCAACTATATAAGGCTTCATTGGTCAAGCAAAAGATGTAAAAGTCACGTGTTCTATAGGCAGCTGTGACTGCGCAAAATGAAATTTCCGCATTCTCAGCTATCACATTATCGTTACCTTTGGTCACTGATGGTGCGCGCTAATTCTCCTGACAAGTAACATGATAAGCCCGGCATGCTTCGATTCGAACTTTTATTATGTAGAGGTCACGCGTGCATGGCCCTTGAAAAATAGCTAGAAGAGAAGCTGGCCCACGGCCCAGCACGAGGTGGCATTTAAGAATCTTGAAAACGAAGTCCCCTTTAACTCTGCAAAAATTCACGAATAACCTTCTGTGAATTTGTGGAAATACGGCTTATAATCTACGGCGAGCGTTGAGTGGATGGAAGTGAAGAAATTGGGAAAATAAGAGAGAAAACAACAGAAGGCGAAAGAAGGGAGGTTTTTTGCACCATCAAATGTCATATTAGCAAAGCAGAGGGGTCGAAACTTGGATCAAAGCGTGGGTATCCATTGGTAGAGCTTGATAAAGAATAGATTTATGTAAAACTTTCTGAAAAAATTATGTGAGGAAGGGGGTAAACTATGACTTGGCTTGGTCGCGCGCAACCTCAGGGTGCTCCCAGGTTGCGCGGGAGCAACCTAAAGTAGAAAAACTCAACTCCTTTCATAACGTATTTTTTCATGATTTTTCATACCTTTCTTTTCATCGTCGTCACAAGCTATGCACCATATTCAGTGATTCGGTATTGCTTAGTCGTTGTAAACAAACTAATTTCGATCTTCTTGTGCATGAAGATCATGAACACGGTGAAAATCGCGTGCGTGCAAGTTCTTGCACTAAACGTGTTTGTAACGTGTAAATTTACCTATACTCGGTCCAGAGCCTCAAATTTGGAATTATTAAAAGTAAGAATTGTGCTTGGATATTCTGTCGGATCGGGTCCCCTCGCAACTTTCGACCCCCGGATTATTCTGGGCATGACCATAAAAAAAATTATCTCTTTTATTAGGTTGAACACTAAGTTTTGCAACTTGTTTCATAACTTCACTCCCATTCAACATGGCGCACTCAAACTTTGGCATCATGTAGAATGCAATGTGAACTACAAGCTAGCACAAATTGTCTGAATTTTGAACACGAAATAGAAAAGTTTCAGGCATTTTTCGAAAACTAGTGAAATCTGTGAATTTTTGGGGTTTCAAGCTAAAATGAAGCCTTTGGCAGCCTGGACTATGCGCAGTAATCCGGATTCGTCTATGAACCATTGCTGGAGGTTGATTCCTTTGACCTAAATAGAAAGAAACAAAATTTAGGGGCATGTCGAGATTTGGCGTCTTCACAAAGTCGAACGAGTCGATGTACGCAAGAGCTGCTGGGGAGGACCGTCACTAACTAAAGAGTCCGGAGCTCAAATTCCACCGAGACCGTACGTATTAAGGTTATTTGGCCTGCCAAACACGAATATCATATTCATTTGTTAAACCAACGCCTCTTTCATTGTTTAGGGTAAGACCCCATATCGTACACCTACAGTAATCCTATAAAAAAACCCTTATCACGCAATTTCACTATCGTTTTCGTGATCAGCATGTCGGATAACACCCCTATGCCAAGTTTCAGCCAAATCCGTCAAACTTTGAATTTTTCCCCTTCATACCATGCACCTACCGTAACCCTCACTGCGACGTCAGAATTTGGTAGGACAGCAGCTGCGCTTGTAGCTTACATAATAACCAACACAGTGGCAAAATTTGAGTGCACCATGTTGAGTGAGAGGGAAGTTATGAGACCAGTTGCAAAACTTAGTGTTCAACCTAATACTTCCCCTTCAAAAAACCACATCCAGCTTGTGAAAGTGCCTCCTCTGCTGAGTCCTGAGCTGGCCATATTTTCTCTTATCTATTTCCATTTTCTAGTATCTTTATGGATTTTAGAAGCATCATTGCTCATATGAAGGCCTCGCAAAAGTTTAAGCTTTTCGGTAACGTAGGTTGAAATTTGCGAATAAAACGTGCATCGCCCGAAACTCTAACCTTGGTAGCATATTTCCACTATAATGGAAGATGTCATGGTATTCTTTGTACAAAACATTTCTATCCATTTAACGTTTGGGAAGCGATTAAATGCTCCCACATCTAGCGAGTACTTGTACAAAAGTCAGGTAGAACTCACCAACAATCTCTTCTGGAAGTCGGTCGTTTCGGCCATTTCTGCTTACTGAAACATAAGCAAAAGATCACACTTGCATTCAGTAAATGGCAATATTTCTCCGATGACAATCGAGCAAGTCATATGTAGAATACGCGAATAGAATCAAGGCCTTATCTTTAGCAAGGAGCTAACAAGAGAACAACTGCTAGAAATGAAAATAACGCGAATGACGCAAGTTATGGATGACAAAGGAAGAACTTTCGCCACCTAGAGAGTGCAATTATCGTATGTTTTCGTTGTGATTTCTAGATATTGTGTGTACAACAAAGGAAGTGCACCCAGTCCAAATTGTTGAACTAGAAGTTTAATCGAAGTAAGTATTCTACAAGCAGGTTCTACAGTAATTTGACACCGAGGGCATACTTCCCAGTGCTATGTAGTATCTAGTGTGATTGAAGGAAACTTAAACAAAGAACTCAAACAGAGAATAAGCGGAGTGACAATGCCGCCGACCATTACAACGAACAGATACCATGCGTGCAATGAGATTTTTCAGTTATATATACCATCACTGACAGCGAACTTAAACATGACCTGAGAATGAAGAGACTAGGATTCTGGGATGGGAAAAGTGTTATGCGAATCACAGTGTCCTTATTTCTTTGCAAAATTCCTTTGGTAAGAGTGGTTATTAAGAGAATTATTTGGAAAGCTAGTTCCATGGATATTTTTAACAGCCAAAAAGTTTGTATGCGGTGGGGATTGGATTTTACTAAGCAGGGAATGCTCAGATTTTAACCCAGCCATACCAAACATGCTGTAAATCATTGGACCCGTCTTGAAACGCTGATCATCACAAATATACAATACCGCTCACAGAATGTGCAAAATTTCCGTAAATGTCGCAGAATTCCGAGAATTCCGCGAAGGTTCGCGAAATTCCGGGAATTTTGCGACATTCCCGGAATTTCGCGACATTCCCGAAATTTCGCGAAATTCATGTAAATCACGCAAATTACGCAGGGCCATAACTTCGTTCCGAATGAGTATATTCAAAATCCGAAAACAGCATTGTATTCAGCTCATCAAGGCGAATCTTTTGGTATACAGGTTGTCTCCAATATCCTCTTTTCAATAATCTTGAATCTGCATGCGGACGCCTCTTCACATGAGTGTAACGCAACGAGCATCACATATAGGAGACTGCCTTAAACACCGTTCGATAGTACTTTTTCAATGGATTATCGTGCGCTAAACAGCAGCCGAAGACTCTCTTTTAAAAGAGATAGAAGAGCTGATAAACTCTGGAAAAATCAAGCTGTTCCAAGTTCTACTAGCCGTAACTTCCTTCAGAATGAACATCTTCGAAATCCGAAAACAGTATTGTGTTCAGCTCGTTAAGGCGAATCTTTCGGTATACAGCACATGTCCTTGAAATTCCATTTCAAATTTTTTCAAAATTTTCTGCGCGCGTATATTCGCAAGGTCGCAACGCAGCGCACATCAAACATAAGAGACTCCATTAAGCACTATTGGATTGTGCTACTCCCGCAGATTACCGAGCGCTAAAAATGAACTGGAGAATCTTTTTCGAAAAAGATAGAAGAGCTGGTGAATTCTGGAAAAATCGTGTTGTGTCAAATTTTGCCTACTGTAACCCTAAAATGGGAAGCTCTCCTGCTAAGCAGATGTTGTGCTTTTCGTAATCAGCAGGTCAGATAACCTCTATGAGCAAGTTTTCAAAGAAATTCGGGTGATTTGATTTTTTCTCGTTCTACGCCCTGAAGCCCGCCGATGGGTTTTGGTCAAAATGTCGATGATCTTGGATTATAAGGAAACTTCGCTCAAAGAGGTTATCTGACCTGCTGATTACGAAAAGCACATCTGCTTAGCAGGAGAGCTTCCCATTTTAGGGTTACAGTAGGCAAAATTTGACACAACACGATTTTTCCAGAATTCACCAGCTCTTCTATCTTTTTCGAAAAAGATTCTCCAGTTCGTTTTTAGCGCTCGGTAATCTGCGGGAGTAGCACAATCCAATAGTGCTTATTGGAGTCTCTTATGTTTGATGTGCGCTGCGTTGCGACCTTGCGAATATACGCGCGCAGAAAATTTTGAAAAAATTTGAAATGGAATTTCAAGGACATATGCTGTATACCGAAAGATTCGCCTTAACGAGCTGAACACAATACTGTTTTCGGATTTCGAAGATGTTCATTCTGAAGGAAGTTACGGCTAGTAGAACTTGGAACAGCTTGATTTTTCCAGAGTTTATCAGCTCTTCTATCTCTTTTAAAAGAGAGTCTTCGGCTGTTGTTTAGCGCAGAATAATCTACTGAAAGAGTACTATCGAAGGGTTCCCGCCGCAATCTCCTATGTGTGATGCTTGTTGCGTTACACCCACGCGAAAAGGCGTCCGCATGCAGATTCAAGATTATTGAAAAGAGGATATTGGAGACAACCTGTATACCAAAAGATTCGCCTTGACGAGCTGAATACAATGCTGTTTTCGGATTTTGAATATACTCATTCGGAACGAAGTTATGGCCCTGCGTAATTTGCGTGATTTAATGAATTTCGCGAAATTTCGGGAATGTCGCGAAATTCCGGGAATGTCGCAAAATTCCCGGAATTCCGCGAACCTTCGCGGAATTCTCGGAATTCTGCGACATTTACGGAAATTTTGCACATTCTGTGAGCGGTATTGTATGTTTACTATCTGTCAAGTTACTATCTGGGAGAAGTTATGAGCGTTTAAATGTGGGATTTGTCAAGTGTTCTGTGGCGCATGCTCCACGAAATAGGTTTCAAGAACACTTATTTAGTTTTTTGATAAATGTGCTTCTTTCTTGTAATTAAAATAACCATAGCCACTATAAACCCGCGCCATCAGGCCGCCTTTCAAGGATATATTCTTCGAAACTTGAAAAATTTCTCATATTTGAACGCTCATAACACCTCCCAGATAGTCACTTGACAGATAAAAAACACATATTTGTAATCAATGTTTTAAGACGAGTTCGATGATATATAGCTTGTTTGGAGTGGCTGGGTTAAGTTCTGACCATTTCTTCGTAAGCTATAATATGCCCAAATGCTACCTTTACCAAATCAAAAAAAGGCAAGATTATACCTAAGCAATGGCTTGACCCCGCAACTTTTGTCATCGAGGCTAGAAAAACCTTGTAAACGATGTCTGGAACTTCTTGTGGTTAAGTTTCTGCAGAGCTATCTGCAACTTCTGCCTCATCAAGAAAACAGCCTCCTGAGGCAGCAATGATACCATTCATTATTCTCATCCCTCCTCATGTCGCTAGTCCTTTGAGATTGATGTTCCTATCTATTATATAAAGAGTCGTAACGCCAATTTAAAAATCATTAGATAGCGGAAACCGCGGTGAGGTCCCGAAGCACGCGGATAAATCTAGCACTTTTAATTACTGGTTCACTAGTGTACCGTAATCACTGAAAATCAACAAGTGACTCCCTCTTATTGGCTCATAACCTCCGCAATTTTATCGTCACCTCTGCTTCGTAAAGGCTCGAACTGGCCATCGTAAAAAAGTGTGATAGAAATACGTGGTAGTACCCTCATAATCATCATAATCATCCTTCTTGGTTGGCTGCGAGTGAATCCCGAACAGAAATGAACCTCCCTCGTCATGACACCCCCACATCTGCGATAAATCACTAGCTGGCTTCCCCCGTCCAACCCGGGTCATCCCAGCTGGCCTTCCCCGGTCCAACCCGGGTCATCTTTCAGAAGAATGGCCAAAGTCACACTTTGCCCCTTTGCGTCTGTTTCGTTCTGTTCACTCATGTCCTCCTGCATCTTTTTCGGCGGTTTCGGTACTGCACTGAAAGCCCTCCCTCCCCTTCACTTTCCTGCATGAGCTTACCTCAAAGTTGTTTCGAAGTAACTGCATCTTCTTCAGTTCAATGTGAAAATGAACTCTGCACTGTTTACATGAAGATGTGCAAGCATTTTGATAAGTGATAAATGATAGTTAATAACGTTCATTTTCATTACAAAGTGCTAAAAATCAATAAATCGATAGAACGCTTGAGCGAATCGCCGCAAAAAGCAACCTATCGTGTGCGCAGGATTTGAAAACATACAGTCGTGTAGGTTTTCGCTTAATATACTGTACTGCACTGTAGGTGAAATGCGGTAAATTTGCGCGTAAATTACACGCCAATAATGCCGGCGTTCTGCGCGCGCAGATGGAAGGCGTCACAGGCGTAGCTATTTCTTCACGTGCAAATTTTACCGCATTTCACCTACAGTGCAAGCACACTATGTAAAGCGGAAATTCTACTCGACTGTATGTGTGCAAAGTTTGGCGCTTTTTGGTTTACTCACAAAGATTTATTCGACAACTTCGCGGAAACATACTTACTCACAAATTTTGAGTTTTATCTATTCATTTGTAGATTTTTCAGTGATTGTGGACAGGCAGAGATGAACTACCGCGTTATTTTCAACATGGTTTTTTAAAGCAGTATGTTTCGTTCGAAGTGGTCCAAGTGAGCGGAATTGTTCCAAAAAATTTCTTCTTTACTCTCAACTCTGTACACCATGATAAGTTCTTTTATTGGGAGCAACTATAGCTAATATGTACAAATACAGTGGTAATCACACCAACAGTAAGCACAAGATAAGGCCACTCTTTCTATTTTAATCATCTCGTATAAGAGGTAGTTTTTAGTTGATGTCGTCCTTTTTGCAGACGTAGAGGATGTTGAAGGCAAACTGAGGTGTAGGCACAACATCGACTTGCTCGAACCCAGCTTCCTTGATCAGTTTCTGGGCACGTTCTTTTCCCCACATCGCGCCGAGGCATAAGGCATCTGAACAAAAATTTGTGATATCAGAGCTGTATGAAATTAGAACTTGCTCGGTGCAAAAGCAACCTTCTGAATTGCTGCTCACTGGCAAACAATGGAACATTGAGCATCCGTACATCTGTCCAGCCACTAATCCCAATTCCTGCTTGTCTTTGTATATGTTTGATGAGCCATTTACCTAAAAAAGACTATCTATAGTTTCCTTCTTTTTTTGTACTGTGTCATAATACGCACCTCTAACATTCCAAAGACACCTCCAGGCTTGAGAACACGGTAGATTTCTTTGAGGCACTTAAATACAAACATTTTGTATTTTTATCTCAAATATAACTTCGAAGAATACCAGATCAGGCCTCGTTTGGTCATGGCAAGCATCGAAGATCATGATTACATCGAACTTGTTCGACCAATTGGCATCCATTTTGGCTGCATTCATCTGGGTAAAATCTAAGTTGTCGAAATTCTGACCATCGCTCTTCCTAAACCATCATGTTTAAAGCCGCAAATCAGCTTTTTCTTTAGTGATCTTACTTCTGCCGTTTAGCCATTTCAACTGCTTCATGTGTGATATCAATCCCAGTAAAATGAGATTTTGGATAATGAGAGGCTAAAACTTTTTTGTATCGTACATTTTCTTATGGTCCGCATGAATAACTCACCCATGAGAGAAGAGTGGAAGCCCTTACCACATCCAACATCCAAACATTGAACCCCACCTTTTTCTAATCTCTCCTGAAATCAAAAAGTCCGAGCAGTGTCCTGAAAGTTCTTGGTTATAGAAATTACAACTCTTTTGAACAACTATATCACTAAATGCTTAGCAAGGTTATTAAAGGATGAGAACATTACCACAACCATTTGCTACTAATTCGAGCCATTTACCCTACTGCTACTGATAGATAAATTATTTCTTTCGTAGGAGAGATTTTCTGATCTTGATGTGAAATAAGTGAAATTTTTAAGTTTTTTGGCTTAGTACAGGTGCCACTCACTGCTCAAAAATTCTTAAGTTCAAGAACTATGATACTTCTTTCTCTACTTATAGATCTCTTCGTATATTGTTTTTGTGAAAACAAATCACCCTGAGCCCTGATCCAAGAGCTGGAATAAAACCAGAAATGAGATGCTTCTTGTGCAGTGCCTCACTCAGCGAAGCCATAGCGTCATAGAAGTCGGTAAAGTCCGAATATGCTAGCCCTACAAAAAGTTGCCAAATCCAAAACGTTTTCATCAATGTAAAGATTTACCTAGTGGACCGTCTTTTGTGAACACATTTGCCATCTTATCGTAGGCTCTCATGAAGACAGGCAGGAAGGAATTGAATTGAATGCTGAACGTCTGGTTGGTCAGATCCTGAAAGCCAAAAATTTGCTTCAGTGAGATGTCCGTGCAAATCTGCTCAACTTACCGCTACGTTTTCCTTCTTGATGTAGAATTTCTCATCCTCAGTGACAGTGATGATGTCTCCCACTCCTACGACTGCCAGCCACTCTTTCACGTATCTAAAAATTGGTAAAATATCAGACACATCGTCATAAAAATTTTTTGCTGAACACTATTCACTGTCCCTGTGTTGCCACTACCAAATAATGCCCTCAGAACCGTTCCTTCTCATCGCCCCCCCCCCCTTGCGAAATCAAACGGACGAAAAATAAGTTCTGCAACATGTGATCACATAGTTACCGACAGGGCGGACAAACTCTCAAAAACGGTCGCGTAGTCCACACTCTTAAGCATGGTAGAAGATACCACGAAACAGTTTTTTTATTCTTTTCTTCACTGGATTTCTAAACGTCTGCGGTTTTTTAGCAAGTGTTCTCGAAGTCCCTAGATGCGTTTTTTGATGACTCACACTTGAATGCTAGGAGAGAATCATTTGTATCCACTGCCTACTTAAACGCTCGGCGAAGATGTTACACAGTTTACAGGAAATTCCTAGCTCCACCATCCAGCAACTTATCTTTTCCCCCTTTTCAGCAAAAATTTTCTCCCTCTCTGCTTCGTAGCCAGCTTAATGATATCATTTGTTGATACATTATTTTTAGCACTAACCTTTCTTTGCAGCCGCTTTCTTGGGCAACTTGAGCTGCAGTAGCCGGCTTTTCCTCACTGCTGATCTTTGCTAGTGCTTTAAATAGACCAAGTCGATGCCCAAGTGCTATACTTGCTGATAGCATGCCATCAACTCCAATTTGCTAGAACAAAATGTGGATTTATATAGGAAATGAAACGTAAACAAATGAAGGTACTGGCTACGATGTTTGTTTAGGAAATTCCAACCATTTACCCATTCTCTCCTTTACCTAGTTTGTAGATTACTTTCCTATTCGTTTTTAACATACGTTTAAAAGTCAATTCAGAAATGGTGGCATCTCTGGTAGTGCAAAATTACTGTGAAAACTAATACTTCCACATACAACCTCATTTATGTGTCCAAATAAAACTTACCATTAACCTCTTCTGGAAGTCAGTTCTGTCGGCCATTTGTGCTTACTGAAATGAATGAATATGTCAAGACCTAGTCTCTCAAATTATCACCCAAATAAATAAAGGCTTGCAGTTGAAGACATCAAAATTTGGAGACTAGATAGCAATATTGAAAGCAATTAAAATGGGAGATAGTTAAGAACAGCACACGTCCTTGATTACCGCCCCCAGATGTTTACAACAAAGGTAACTGAATTTCCTTGAAAGCAGTTTGTCGTTGGTAATAGATCCAGTGTTTTCATTTATTTTTGAAAAGTGGTTTAACATTGCATCTATTCTTTTATTAAACTTGTTCAACTTTAGTCAAGATGTTACAGAGAAATACCACAATGAAATAGCAATAACAAGTGAAATAATTGTAGCAAACCAAATGAACAAACTTGGTCGCAGAGAAACCTTAATATAATGCAGGTCTTTACAGTAAATTGATATCGCAATCACCAAGGTCAGCATTTACACGTACATTTACACGTAATCGTTCGCTGATAGCAGATTGACACAGGAATCTGAGGTGAGTAGAATGTGGTCTTGGTGGCATAGAGCTCATACATTCATAGAAACCAATTTTTGTTTTCGAACCATAGGGATAAGTGTAGTCACTGAAATAAATAACGAAAAGTTGATTTTTCTGCAGCATCCACGAACTTAGAAAGAACCATTGCACATCATGGAAGCGCGTATGTTCGCTTGCCTGAATTGAGAAAATCAGCTTTTGAAGACTTTTGTTCCTTGTAAATTGCTGGGACTTTCTTATCTTCGCGATCTTGTCTTTATATATACCAGTAGCTTTGTTTGGGAGCTCATGCTACCCATATTTCTAACCAAGAAGAAATTTTCAATATTTTCTAATTTCTAACAAAGTATCGATTTCGATGAACAAAACATTGGTTAGATTGAGACGTCAAAAAGCTTAGTTTGACTCCTCAGCAAACATGCTAAATTCTCTACGTGATTTCATCGGCTTACATTACCCATGTAGAAATTCAAAGCAGTTCAAGGCCCAGTCCTTGTGAAGCTGGAAGTATAGGTGGTGACAATGTGACACATCAAGGTGAGGTTGCTTACCCACAGGGTGTGATGTGCCATCGCTGTAGGTTACCTATAGTTGATGTGATTAGTCGATGTGTGAGAAATCCCGAGCGCGAGGTAGCCCGTGCACTTGTTAGACTGACTCCACCCATTTTAGATCTTGCTTACGAGCCATAATAAAAATATTTTTGTCACACATTGAAGTGATGTCAACTGCGGTCGAAATTTACAACAACGTTCCCTTTTTCAGGGTGTCCCGAAAGCCTATCTGTAAGGTCGTCAGTATCTCTCTTCCTACGAGTCTTTTGTCAAAATTCAACACATTCTGTAGAACTGAGTTCTTATGGTTAGATTTGCAGTATAATGCATATCACCGATCTTTTTCACTAGTATAGGTACAGTAAGAATTTCAAGAATTGTTCCAAGCCATTGAGACCAGCTTAAGAAAGAAAAACAGATTAAAACCTCACAATAGGCCAGTCAGGGTCGCTGATTTTTAATATAAAACTTGCACTTTGCTCCAGTTTTAGTTCATAGGCTGTGCTAGTAAATGCTAGCAGAGCTGTTTTTTCATGTTCTTCAGAAATTGTGGACGCCACTCAAAAAACTTGGAAACTGGTAAGAAGTTGACTATGACACCAGCGTGCGCAGAAAACTCTGTTACACAATTTTTCACGTATTTCGAAATTATTTCTGAAACGGTCCAGTTCATGACGCAGAAGCTGGATATTCACTGTTTTACAGTAATGACGAATTGGTGATTCGCATCATATATAAATTTGAGTTAAAGCCAGTACTACAGAATGTTACCCAAACTTCGGCAAAAGACCTTGGGGGAAAAGAGATCAAAACGATCAAACAGTGCCTACGAGCTTTAGGGGAGACCCCGTATTAACAAAACGACCGCATGACTACCGCGTGAGACCGCTTGGCACCGATGGTGTGTCAAGAACTGATTTTTGTCAAAAGCTATTATGGGATCACACTCTAGGGGAGATTTTGTGCTGAGTTTGCAAACAGTGTCCACCTTCTATGTCAGCATCTCAGAGCTACTGTAAGTATATTATAAGTATATTACAGATGGCACTGTATTACTGCAGCTACTGTAAGTATACTGCAGATTATGTTGATTTATTTTTTTATCATTTACTTTATACGCTTCAAAGCGTGCTACAAAAGCATTTTATCTAAAAAAAAGTGTTTATTGATTTGTGAAAGGCATTGGTCCGTGAAGGTAGAAAACCAAATGTACATGCTCGTCACTGTGTTATGAAATGGTTCTTCTGTGAGTTAAAAACACACTTCACATATATCCGTCTATAAACCTAACAGCATTGTTTTTTGGAGACTCCTCTCTTCCAAATGGACAGTAGTCAACAAGAAATGGATCATTTGAGTGGAATTCGCATGTCGGTCAATATCAAATGCAGGCCACTGATTCCTTGGTCAAAAACAGGCATCGTTGTTTGTTCGTGGTTTACTTTTTATGAAAATGAATAAATCTTTTCATTATACACAGCCGATTACAACTCCCCTAAAAGATGCTTTAGCCTTTGTCTATACATCAACCAGATTTTAGAGAAAACGAGTTCGTTACTATGGTACCTCGAAAGTATGCAAGCAACCGATCTCAGATAGAAAGGTCTGACATTTTCACCAAAGCAAATGTCCACTCTCAAGGCTGTTTGTTATATCACTTGATATACGATTAAAACTCAGAACCACGAACTATTTAACTATTTATTTGATCACAGAACCATTTTCGTAAAGACGTCCACCACAGAGAGTTGTTGTAGCGTTTCTTGTCAAAAAAAGAATTATTCTGAGCACTGTTCATCCTTCCATCGAAAGGCGAATGCTTGGACTATCGTTCTCACAAGAGTGATATTCGCTAAAGAACTCTAAAATTCTGCTGTCTTATAGGCATGTGTAGCAGAACACTTCAGAGACTTGGAGATTCGGTGGAGAATTGAAACTATGATGTTGTGTGACAATAAGAGTTTATGAAACATCGCAAATACTTCAACAACCATTTCCTCCGGTCTTTTTTATGATCCTTGTAGCACTTTGCTAAAGTTCCTTGTATAGACAAAAAGTTCAGCTTTCGATAAAGGCTCCGTGCACGTGATTAACAGTAGCGATCAGTGCAGACTTCTGACTATCTTACCTTGGGTATTCTAGAACTGCGATACTTTACAGATTCACTTATACTTCATTCTCTTCCCTTCCAGCGAGTAATCGTCATTTTGACCGCATCCACCTCTAGACGAGAGATACCTAAAAAGTGCAAGACAGTGTGGATCAGCAGATTCAAGTACGTTTCAACCCGAGCACAATCGATGCATGAGGCCACGGACAATAAGGAAGTATCAAAACAGGAAAGAGAGAGAAAATGGCATCAGGTATGCGCATGTTAGTGCCATTGAGTGCCGATGATATTGCTAGTAAGTAAAGATTACATGGGTGGGGAAATGCACACTGATAGCTGTTACTCTCTTGCTCTACTTTCTTTCGCCGTTCTCAAAGTATCTTCAAGGCTCAACTTCTACATTAAAGAACAAATCAACAATCACTTTGCATACTGGAAGACCACGGTAAGACCTTCCAGTCACAGCGCCGTCGTGAAGCAGGCTTTCTGAAAGGATAGTGTATACCAAGTTCAAACGATTTTGCGACTAACAAGGGAAGCTTGTTTAGTCGAAGTGGCCTTTCCAAATGAGATGTATACCATATTAAGGCGCATAAAACGCTGATTCCAAAACTGTCTTCCTTATCTGCAGAACGTTTACGGACGAGAAGTTATGAGCGTTTTTTGGAGTCAAAAATTGAATGTGCATTTTGAATAAAATGAGTTGTTAGAATCTTACTAGCCTTCAAATAACGTAACCAAGTGTGATATAATTTTTATTTTAGAGTAATTTTCAAATGAAGTGTTTTGGTGATTATCATTGCTCCGTTGAAGAGCTAGAAAAATATTACGGTTATTTTTGTCACACTTGCACATTCAATTTTTGACTCCAAAAAACGCTTATAACTTCTCGTCCATAAACGTTCTGCAGATAAGGAAGACAGATTTGGAATCAGCATTTTATGCTCTACAATATGGTATACATCCCACCAAAAAAGGCCACTTCGACTAAACAAGCATTCCTTGTAAGAACTTTTCATATGGCGTGATCGCGCACGTTTTGAGTAACACTTAAGAGAATGTTAGAGAATGCCAAAAGAATGGTATATTTGGTGTAACTTACGAATGAAGCATTAAGGAAGGCGCAGATTTCATACGTAAAGTCAACGACTCCTATTAGTTTAGTTGATGGTATTTAGGTTGTTTGCTTTCTCTAATTCGATAAATGGCATTGGACGCAGAGCCCTTTTCAATCTTCCTACCGTAATCTACAGTGTGGAAGAGGTGAAGATGTTTCGCTCTATGCTGCGAATTCAAGTTGCCAGATCTACGGGTTATATTCTGAGGTCAACGACAGATGCTGCAACGAGAGGGTTATTGTCAGTGGAACAGTGTGCACGATACTTGGGCTCCCTGCAAATCGTTTAATGAGATAATGATTGATATGTGTTGGAATCGAATGCGTAAATCGAGTCTACAAGTCTCAAGAATATACTACGATATGTAAAAAATTCTTTTTATTTGGCGCTTTGGGATGCAGCTTGTGAACGCCGTATCTTCATACCACTACCTTATTCGGCTTCAATCTCCAAGTCTTTCATCACCGATGAAAGAGCTTCCTGAAATGCAGATAAGGCAAAATTTGCAATCACATTTTCTAACATATATTTCACGAACCGGATTTCATGAAGGTTCATAGCAGTTTGTCGTGACTAATTCTTCAGTCTTTGCAAAACTGAAACTAAAAAAATCTTATAAGGGTTCCGAAATTTGACTACCGCCGAACATTAATATAAAAGGAAAAAGAGGGCTTAGCGTTCTGAAATACCAGGTATGTTCTTCTAGAACTTGTGAGAATTTTCAAAACTCCATAGGACGCAGATGAAAATGGTCATGTTAAATAGCAGATAATACACCTACTTTATCTTTCAAAATCCTAAGCACCAGTCGACGAAGACACAGCTCTTGCACTAGTGCATTGAAACGTAGGAGCTTCAATTAGGACTCGGTACGAGGTGGCTCCGGCGACGTTTTGGAACCGGAGTTCCCGTTGGCTTCGCAACATATTTACGACATCCTGAACAATCTCACGAAATTCAAATATGCGCAAAGGAGAATAGAACAAATTACAAAACAAGTCAGCGGGACGATAAAAGGAACTAATGCTGTTTCCATTTCCCTAATTGACTGGATCCGAATGGAAACGTTTTTGCATAAACAGTAGCTAGAAGCGAAAAGAGTAAGAAGAGCATTATTTGAACTTTTAGCTAGTACAGAGCTCCATATATGATTGTAGATCTTCTCATCTCAGAATTCGCAAGGAATTTATAATGGATATGTACCAGCATATCTAACCAAATCAGAGGAAAATGCGTCTCAGTTTGCACCAGAGCTTTAAGAGGCAATTCATTTACCATAACAAAGAAGTTTCGAAATTTTTAGAGCAGAATTGGAGAAATTATGCAAGATTTACTTAGAAATTCCGCGCAGATAACTTCCACACTGCAACCCCAACTTTAAGCGCTCATAACTCAACGGGGACTGATGATATAGAGAAACGGAAAACTGCATTAGATAGGAAAAATCAATCTCTTAAATGAATATCTTCTCAAAATTCCAGTTTTTCTCCGCTGAAATGGCGAAATATTAGGTCAAACAAAAACAACTAAAACTGAAAGAAAATACGCTTTCCTGCAATTCAGAGATTTTCCTGAGCACAGATGTGGCATTTGCCTTTTCGGACATTCAATATATGGCCTAAGTGGCGATGGGGCTTAGTGTATTTAGAGTGGTGTGCGTTTGCAGGGCTTATATCAGC